AAACCTGTCTCCTGAAGCCCACATCAAAAGAATAACATCGGCGGCGTATGCGAGGCTGGCTAACATCAGAACTGCTTTCAGGAACCTGTGTAAGGAATCATTCAGAACCCTGTATACCACATATGTAAGACCAATCCTGGAGTATGCAGCCCCAGCATGGAGCCCGTACCTTGTCAAGCACAAGACGAAGCTTGAAAAAAGTACAGAGATATGCCACTAGGCTAGTCCCAGAACTAAGAGGCATGAATTACGAAGAAAGGCTGCGGGAAATGCACTGCACGACACTGGAAGACAGAGTAAGGGGAGACATGATCACTATCTACAAAATTCTCAGAGGAATTGACAGGGTAGATAAAGATAAACTGTTTAACACGGGTGGTACGCGAACAAGGGGATACAGGTGGAAACTGAGTACCCACATGAGCCACATGGACGTTAAAAGAACTTTTTCAGTGTCAGAGTAGTTAACAGGTGGAATGCATTAGGCAGTGATGTGGTGGAGGCTGACTCCATACACAGTTTCAAGTGTAGATATGATAGAGCCCAGTAGGCTCAGGAATCTGTACACCAGTTGATTGACAGTTGAGAGGCGGGACCAAAGAGTCAGAGCTCAACCCCCGCAAGCACAATTGAGTACACTACGCAGACTACTGCGCTACAGGGAATATAATCAAATATGAAGGGACAATAAAAGAGTCATCATCGAGGCAGTAAGCAGGTGGACAAGTGCTACTGCCGGGTTCCCCTCCTCCCCACCTCTCCTCCCACACCAACTAATGGAAAATATAAAGAAAAGAATTTGAAGAAGTCAAATAAAGTTATCCCGATCGTTCTAGCCATCCTGAAGCCATTACTGGAGGGGTCGTACAACCCGTCCTCTTAACAATAACGTCACTTTTGGCTCGTATGCGCGCTATGGCCAAATTTGGACGTAATTTGAAATGAAATCGACTCACAAAAGTGAGGTACTGTTCCGTTTTCTGTTTGAGTCGGCTAGCTTAGAAAAGGATTCTTTCCATTAACGTTTTTCATACCATTTTGAAACTTTATGAGAATTTCCTGCCCACCTAACCTATCAGAGGACCCTTAACTTACAGTTGTTGAAAAAAATCCCAAATTTATATTAATTTTTTGTTTATTTTCAAATTACGTCCATATTCGGCCATACAGGCAAACGGCCAAAAGCGACGTTCTTTTTAAGAGGACAGGTTGGTGCTGGTTACCTCCCCCTCAAACAAAGAGGTTCTTCGCCCTCAAACGGAGGGGGCTACCCCCCCCCCCTTTCTATCCGGGAGGCTCATGCCCAGCTCCCACAATGACCAATCATAATGTAGGGGGTACAACCCCCTCCCCCTTATATAACCCATCATAATGAGACAGACATTGCAGCCAAATTAGCGTGCAACAGAGATGAAGTTGAATTAGATCTAGGTATCTTCATCTCTGCTGTCTAAACTATATTGGTCCAAACACTCAGGTCTAATAGAAAAGAAATTACTGACTCCCAACAACCTGAAAGTACTAGTATTAAAAGTACTTTCTTTGTTCAGATCTGAAACCTATATCTATGGGCAGCATAAAACGTCTACCAGACTGTGCGACACAGTGGTTGCCAGGATCAGGTTGGGTTACCGTTACCTGTGGCAGGTGGCTACAGGTGACGGATCACCCAATCCTGAGCACTCCAGGTGCAAACTCTGTGAGCAGGAACTGCGGCATGATCTCCCACACTACATCACTGAATGCCCAGTTATTAGACCATTCAATACCGTTGGCATGAGGTACCTGGAGCTTTGCAATTACTTTATTCACTCTCGTGTTCTTGAGGATACCCTCATATTGCACCCAAAATTTGCCAGTGCAGGCTACTAAACATATGGCCCTGTATGACTAACCATCCTGCGAGATGGGGACTTTTATTACCACTGCTGCCTTATTCACTCTTGTTGATGATGTCCTCAAAATGCATCCGGAGTCTGCCAGTGCAGACTACTTATCACATGCCTCTGTGTGATGGGGATTTTTTAGAATCTTTTTTACAGTCTCCGTGGTGTAGTGGTAAGACACTCGCCTGGCGTTCCGCGAGCGCTATGTCATGGGTTCGTATCCTGGCCAGGGAGGATTTACTGGGCGCAATTCCTTAACTGTAGCCTCTGTTTAACGCAACAGTAAAATGTGTACTTGAATGAAAAAACGATTCTTCGCGGCGGGGATCGTATTCCAGGGACCATAGGATTAAGGACTTGCCCGAAACGCTACGCGTACATGAATGTAACAACTCTTGTATATATCTCAAAAAAAAAAAAAAAAAAAAAAAAAAAAAAAAAAAAAAAAAAAATCACGTAGCTAGCTGTTTTGACACACTGTACTCCACTTCATATAGTCTAGGGTAGCTGCACAAATGCAGATGTACCTCATATATTAATAAAAAAAGAATACATCCACATCTCTTCTCACACAATACTATCCAGGAACATTAGGCCAGTCGTGTAGTTACTTCCTTCGAGACACTACCAGGAGGAAGGGCCTCGTTAACCTCGTTGACATTTACACAGTCCTTGTGTGAAAGGTTCGTTACCGCTGATTGCGCTCGAGCCGACGTGTGCGCGCGCTCATCTAACTGTACTTGCCGGGGTTGAGCTTCGGCTCTTTAGTCCCGCCTCTCAACTGCTTATTAACTCGTGTACAGGTTCTTGAGTCTATTGGGCTGTCATATCTACACTATAAACTGGTTATGGAGTCTACCTCCATCACATCACTTCCAAGTTCCTTCCATTTATTAAAACCAGTGTGTGTGTGTATTTACTATTCGTGCCTGCAGGATCGAGCTGTTAGCTTTTGGGCCTCGCCTTTCTAACCGTCGGTTGACCTGAACCGATTATATGCCTCTAAGCCTTTCCACCACCGTCCACGGGATGGGTATGGGGTGCATAATAAAGAAACGAATGAATGGTTGTCTAATGTACTGACTCCCGACCCAATTTTCTTCTATCGTATATAATAAATCAATCAATATCTATCTATCCATTATATATATATATATATATATATATATATATATATATATATATATATATATATATATATATATATATATATAAAAGAAAGAATTGATCTTTGAATTACCATCAACAGTGAAAAGAAACGGAAGATCGAGAAAATTCGTGTTAGAATTATTAATCTACTTTTTCGGTCATATTTAATAATATATGTCTACAGGAAAGACTGCTACCAAATATACTAATATATATATATATATATATATATATATATATATATATATATATATATATATATATATATATATATATATATATATATATATATATAAAAGAAAGAATTGATCTTTGAATTACCATCAACAGTGAAAAGAAACGGAAGATCGAGAAAATTCGTGTTAGAATTATTAATCTACTTTTTCGGTCATATTTAATAATATATGTCTACAGGAAAGACTGCTACCAAAATATACTATATATATATATATATATATATATATATATATATATATATATATATATATATATATATATATATATATATATATATATATATATAATATATAATATATATATATATCTCCTCTCGCACATGTACACGCACACGCACATGGGGGGTCTGGTAGCTGAGCAGACAGCGCACATGTCTCGTAATTCTGTGGCCCGAGTTCGATTCCCGGATCAGGCAGAAACAAATGGGCAAAGTTTCTTTCACCCTGATGCCCCTGTTACCTAGCAGTAAATAGGTACCTGGGAGTTATACAACTGCTACGGGCTGCTTCCTGTGTGTGTGGAGGGAGGGACAAAAAGATTAATTAGTAGTTACAGTTGATTGATTGACAGTTGAGAGGCGGGCCGAAAGAGGTGAGCTCAACCCTCGCAAGAACAACTAGTTGAATACACATCCTTAGAATGCAGCTCATGGCAGTTGACTAACGCCCAGGTACCTATTTAATGCTAGGTGAACAGCATTAAAGGTTAAAGGGTTACAAGGTTAAAGAAAATCTGCCCATTTGTTTCTGCCTCTGTCAGAAATCGAACCCAGGCCCTTAGGACTACGACTCCCGAGCGCTGTCCATTCAGCCGCGAGGCCCCTCTGTGTGTGCGTGCGTGCACTATTTTGTTTTGTATTCACTATTTGTGCCTGCAGACCCGAGCTATTAGCTCTTGGACCCTGCCTTTCTAGCCGATCACATACATCAGCAATTCTTCAAGTTACAGCCCCGCTCCTGTGCCAGGTAAGTCCACTAGGGGCTCACCATAGCCCGTGCTACCTGGAACTTTTTGTTTCCAGTAGCTGAATCTTAAACAACATCTAGCCGATCTATTAGCTCTTAGACTCTGATTGTCTAACCAATCTATTTTATCCTCCATTATGTGCGTGTCAGTGCCGTGTCTGTCTGAGGGATGAGTATACGTATAACTATTAGATCATTCAAAATCAACGAAATCACCAATCTTCAACAAAATACAGGAACCACAAAAAGATGTTAAGCCAAATCCTGGAACGGGCAACTATTTTGAGCGTGACAGGAAGTAGGTGACGGAGAGACCGTCCCGTGACACGGTACTGAGGGGGTCCCCGTCCGCTCCGTCCCGTTGACAGTGATGGCGGTGACGCGTTCAAATCCTCCCGCCGGCCTTCCGGCCCACTCCCTGTTCCTCGCCGCGGTGTTGCCAAGAGTTTCTGCTTCTCTGTTGTTCGATTTCTCTACCTAGATCAGTTAATTTGTTTCCTAGTTTACTGAAAAGTGCTTACATTTAAAGTTACGTGTCGTCTTCTGGATGCGTTATATTTGACTTTATAACCTATTTATAATGAGAAACCACACTAACTTTTGAAGGTTTTGAGTATAAGTAATTTCAAACTAGTGTGAAATTTTGCTTGTATATTATTAGAAATAGTGTTAAGAACAATTAGAAATACGAAAAAATGAAGAAAAATGAATAACGAGGTGGTGAAGTTACTGAGAGAGTGGCGTGCAGGTGTGTGCCGGGAGCCCTGAGCGAGGCTAGCCAGGTGCGCCCATCTCTCCTCAAACAAAACACTGTACCTGGTGGTGGCGACTGTACTCGTGTCTTGCCTTCCCAAGTTAACACTCACTCACTGCGCCTAACGAGTGTTTTGATACATTTCCGAATGCCTAAAAGTAGCGGTGAGACTTGTGGCACACGCCCGGGAAGTAATATAATCCAGGAAGAGTGGGAAACGCTTGAGAAGAGATTAGGGTGTGGTAATGGCTAGCAGAGTGTGGTAACAACAAGGGAACGGGAGCCAGTGTGATGCATCGCCAGTTTTCACACAAACCAACGCCAACTAATGACTGAAAACATTCAAAGCAAGACTCGTTGTCGATTTTGTTTGCGCTCCACTGTGGCACTAACGAGAAATACAAATAGTTTGCCCTTTGTTATTTGAAACTAATTATATATTCAAACACTGAAACCTTCGTTACTAGTTAAAGCGAGTTTATCTCAGGAAGAACACACACAACCCTTACTGGGTTTTTTTCTTTGGTGCCCCTTGTAGTGAGGATATAACACAGCGTCACGATGGTTCCCCCAAGGGAGCGGCGGACCACCTCTGGCTGGTGGGCCATCGCCTTCCATGCCCTGGCATTTCTGCTCATAACCATTGCCATGTTCACCACATACTGGCTGCAGGCCGAGAACAAGGCCTATGGCACATCGATGGACAGGATAGGCCTATGGACGCAGTGCTTCCGTAGCTTCACAGTGGAAAAGGATGTGTACCGTGAAAGGTTTTTCGTTGGGTGTCGTTGGCTCTTCGACCCCTTCACTACAGGCTACGAGGACGTGAGGGAGATGCTCCAAACGCGTAAGTTGCACCGGGGAAGCGAAGCTGGTGAGTGCCAGGCCCCGAGGGTTCCCGTGGTGGGTAGGCCTAGGCAAAAGGTTTGGGGGAGGTGAGCGAAGCTGGTGAGTGCCAGGCACTGAGGGTACCCGAGGTGGGTAGGCCTAGGCAAAAGGTTTGGGGGAGGTGAGCGAAGCTGGTGAGTGCCAGGCCCCGAGGGTTCCCGAGGTGGGTAGGCCTAGGCAAAAGGTTTTGGGGTGAGCGAAGCTGGTGAGTGCCAGGCACTGAGGGTTCCCGAGGTGGGTAGGTCCTGCTAGGCAAAGGGCAGGGCAGGGAAGCTGGTGATTACCAGGCCCCGATCGAGGGTTCCCGAGGTGGGTAGCCCTAGGCAAATGAGGGGGGGGGAGCGAAGTTAGTAAGTGCCAGGCACCGAGGTGGGTAGGCCTAGGCAAAGTGATAGGGAAGCTTTGGTTGACATATAATGGAGCTGAAGCTGTAGGTATCGTCTTTGTGCCTGGATATTCACATAGGTCTGCAACGTATAAAACCATAGTAATGAGGACTCAAAGTTAATGAGCAAATGCAATTTTTCCATGTAGCCTTCTGTAGTAATTTATTACAAGGTGAACATTACGTGTATTTTATTTTGGTTGTAAAAAGAAAATCTGCCTCATTATTAAAACAAACATTGACTTTGATGTGAGAAATGTATTATTTAAAGTTTACAAGTTTTTTCTTTATACATTTTTTTTTAAATTGAGGAACTACATTAACCAAAACTTATTATGGGCCCCATAACCATCCTGTGCGAGAAAGGTTGTCACATAATGGGTTCAGGAACTGGACTCAAATATTCTCTTAAGAAACGTAGCTTACATAAATTAGTTCATCACAGAAGATTTAATTTGCCTCCAGTTTATGGTTAAAGTTACAAGGGTACTAATCAAATTCCAGTGCAATAGGTAATGTTAGAGTAGTCAAAATGTAAGAAAGTAGCTTGTACTCAATAAGAACTTATATTCAGTATGTGCATTATCTCCAGTAAGTAAGTAAGTAATTATCAAAAGGAGGCACCAAACCGGGAAGGCTATGTGTATCTCCAGTAGACAAACTTGGGATATTTGGCTAGGATTTTGAAAAACATTTCACCTGGGATGACACATTTTTGTGATGACGCCGATTAATTTTGTTTATTATTTCACATTAAATTAGAGTGATGTGTATACGAATAATTTTGCGTATATCTATATAATTCATTGTGTCCGGGTGGGGGGGGGAGGGGGGTAGGCAGCCAGTTTATACATACAGTATATTATAGGCTTATATCAAGGTTGTCTCCAGGGTTGAATTACTGACCCTCTCCAGTATGCAATACCACAATTTAACTTCTAAATATCTACTTACTGCTAGGTGGACAGGGGCATGCATGAGGTGACAGGAGCAAATCAATTCAGTTCCGCCCGGGATTTGAACCCGGAATATTCGATTGTGAGTAGAGAACGAACCCAACTGTACTACCGGGACCCTCAATATATACTAAGTTTGTTATACAAACGACCTTTCAATATTACTGTGATAATGACAGACCTGGATTAATCATCCTGGCCTCAAGTAAAGAGGACTAGCCCCACAGTTATTTTTCCAAAGTCGGATTTATAATGGACCATCATGGTGTAATGTTGCAGCTGAACCAAGGCTTGTAAAATGGCGGCCCCACAGTAAATTAAAAAATGCTAATATAATTATATTATTGAAAAGGTTAGTAATACATTTTATTTTCGGGAATACAACAAAGTTGGAATCTTGCAACTGCCCCCATGGTCCTGGGACGAACCACAGCTTGCTTGAGAACATGTTCAGTCCCACACTGCTTGTCAAGCGTCACTTGGGAGCGAAGCGGGTGTCATTAATTGTGAGGATTTTACCAAAGACTTTGCGATTAAAAAATGAAGTTAAAAATATTTTGTATTGAAATGGTACAAGCAAGCAAAAATAACCATTGCTTTGCATCTTTGATTCGTGTATGTTAAAATGCTATGTATCTTCAAGGCAAGAAAACAGTGGAATAATAGGAGTTTTTTTCTTACAAATAATTATATTTTTTCATTAGAATATTTTTTACGGTTTACTATTGGTTTTTATTTTGAATTACATAAACGGTATATGGAATTACCATACTCTTTTCAACGCTTAGGGCCCTAAAGGTCTTAAATCCGGCCCTGGATAGTGGATAAACCCAAAACTGGATCAGCCATTAATGTGCGTTTCTCCCTCCTGCAGCATTCTTCGTGACGGTGCAGGTGTTCTTCACCTTTTGCTTCACACTGTCGCTGATTGGGGCGGCCCTCACAGGTATCCTAGTCCTCTGTCCAGGCGAAGAGTTCGAGAAATCAGTTCTCAAGATTGCCTATATTGATCTCTTCATCTCCTGTGAGTTGGTTCATCATTCAGTCTACTGTGTTATTCATGTACAAAAGCCTTCGTGATTACTTCCCCATTCTCAGTTATGTATAAAATGCAAATCTGTAATAACATGCCAAATATATACAATTATTTGCCTTTAAAAACTTTTGGCACGTATTAACTTTAAAAAAAACTTTTTTATAACAAATATACAAGACCTTACAGTAGTTACATTATTCTCGTTGTTCATATATTTTGCACGTCATGACTGAACAGGTGTATATGAACTTTACCACAATAATGAACTATTCATTTCAGCGTTCGTAAGATTTTTGACATACTGTTATATGTTAAGGAGACAGTTATTGAGTGATACGCTGAACTGTTGTTATCGACGTTGGAAGGTGTTTTATTTAGGACAGATTTATGAGATAATGTGTTCAACTGTTGGTAACTGGTGTTGTATGTTATACGAGAACTGTGATGACTGCATTATTTATATGGACCCATTAACGGAGAGGTTACTGGTGCACGACAACAGTTAGTTGCACTTCAGTATAAGTTAACTGGGAAAGTTCTCCTCAGCTGGTGTTCAAGTGATGTTTTGAAATGCTGATAACAAGCTGTCCTCTCGAGTAATACGTCGCATTTTGACGTCAAAGTCCCCAACGGACAAAATGTGATGTACTATAAATCATAGCGGCTCACAAACATTCACATTTTCTATGCGTGTCGCACAAATAGGTTTGGGTGATTTAGTACATCATTTTCTGTCCGTTGTGACAGATGGAGAGGCCGGGGTGGCTAGTGTTAATATGTATTATTACTAACGATGGGCTTCGTGCCGGTAGGGGTGTTCGGGTTCATAGCAGTCATCGTGTTCGGAGCGATGGGTGACAACCGTGACTGGATGCCCCACTGGGACCACAACCACCTCTCTTGGTCCTTCGGCCTCGGTAACTAACATTCTACACGTTGTTGTTGCTTTAGCTTCTCAGAACGAAATGTCCCTGTAGCACGGACTCCTCCACGGACCCCGCCCGTAACACATTCTTCACCTTATTTCAGTATTATATTGTACCTATGATCAGGTAGTGATTGTGGGTAGGTTTTGTAAGTAAAATATACAAGTTAGACTTAAGTTCAAGTAAGTTTTGATATAAAATACAACCCAAAGGGATAGAGTAGCTTAGGAAATTTCTGCCCTCATTAGGTTCAGACTTTGTTTATAAAGTCTATCGGTTGGAGAAAGTATGATCTTCTAAAACTACTATCGGGTTCAAAGGTAAGGTAATCAGGTGAAAGCAACAAGCCATAGCGATTGTATTGTAATTTCCAAAAAATACACCAAAATTAAAAAAAAAAGTAATACCACCAATACGAATTTATATATGGTTAATATGTGTTTGTATTGCAAATATGGAAGTATGCACTATTTTGCTCACGTGTGTTAGCCTCAACTCTGAACCCGATAGTAATTTTATTGACACCTTGTATGTTATCAAGTCTAACTCTTGTGTATGGCAGCATTATCACACTGAGCCCCTTGAGATAACGATTAAACTTAAGTACATGACAATTCTCAATCACATTTGTGTATTTTAAGTGCATATTTATATATATTTAAGGGTCTCTGTACTACAGCCGGGTTCATTCTCTACTTTCAAACTGGAATTCCGGGTTCGAATCCCGGGCGGGACAAAAAATGATTTAGCGTGTTTCTTATCACCTAATGCACCTATTCTCCCGGCAGTGAAAGGTACCCTAGCTGACTGTCCAACAAATTTAATCATTTTTCATAGTAGATTTGTATTCAAAATAAAGACTACGTTATTACCATTATTTTGCATGGAAAAACTTTTTTTATATTACAGCTGTGGTGGGCGTAGTGGCGGAGTTCATAGCAGCCGTGCTCTTCTGGGTGGAGTACCGCATCCAGAAGCGCAAGGAGTCCTATCGCCAGAGTCACGGAGTCTTCACACTCGAGGGAACCAAAACTTAAACCAACTCGTATTGCATAACCAAAACCACATCTTATATCGGGATCAAGACTATGGACGAGACGTTATCGGCTAACAACACGCCAGCAATATGCCTGGTTTAGCCACGTGTACGAATTTGAACATAACTAAGGTGGAACTAACAAACAAGACCGTGAGGAATAGTATTAGAAGCTAAAGTGGGGTTGTAATTGATATATTTGACGAAGAAATTGAACAACTGCATTCATCCTAGATTGCTTATCACATTATATTTGACGAAGAAATTGAACAACTGCATTCATCCTAGATTGCTTATCACATTATATTTGACGAAGAAATTGAACAACTGCATTCATCCTAGATTGCTTATCACATTATATTTGACGAAGAAATTGAACAACTGCATTCATCCTCGATTGCTTATCACATTTGTGTTGCAACATACTGTATTCAATATTAATTTATTGGTGTAAAGACCAAGAATATTGAGTTATCAGTACGGGTTCAGTAGAATGTGGGTACCGTCTCAAACTATTAATACCCAACAGCACACAATGCATGGGACGAAACGTTTTAGCTGTATAATTTTAAATTTAACTTTAAATTTTATCAACACTTAATTTCTAAGAAAAAAATTCTTGTAGTTCGAAAACATTGAAATATACAAGCATTTGTAGGTTACCGATGTTTCGGTAATAGCCACGTAGGTTAATGTAAATTATCGCAAAATGATGTGAATTCCCGAATACCAAAGTAATTTTGTAAAATACTGGTAACTGCATTGACAATTTTATTTTAAGTATCTAGCCTCTCAGTTAAGTATTTTGATAATTTCTAACATTAAATTATTTCAATACTTTATGTTATATGTATAATTTATCTTTTTCTATAATTAAGGTTACCAAACTAATCTTATAACAATGACCTGAACTTTTCTACCAGTACTAGCAAGATATTTTCATTACTCATTTAAACGTAATAAACAATGTTTACACTTGGGAAATGTAACAAGTGCTGCAGGTGTTAGATGCAACAGTATACACTTGGGGAACTACAGAGGGATCTTCTAAGTCACTTCTAATTATCTTAATATAAATGTTGTAAAGTTTTAGATAAGATATTCGATGCATTTCCTTCTCGTTTTCTAAACTATGCCAGTGTGTGGATAAGTAACCCCCCCCCCTCCCCATCCCTCCAAACTCCCCGACTCTTGTATTGCACATTCCCTGTAATTACTTGAAAGTAGTTACAGAATGAGAGCTGTGCTCGTGGTGTCCCACCAGGGCATAAAGAGCCGTGTTCTCCCGTGCTCGTCCGTCCAGAATGGCGAGACTTTGTGGTTAAGTTACTTAGATGTACATAAGTCTTCAAGTTACCTTAAAGGCAATGTGATTCAAGTTCAAGTATGTTTATTGAGATAAGAAATACATCTCAAAGAGATAAAGTAGCTTAGGCTATTTCTACCCCCCAAACACTGTGATTTTGAGTTGTGGTAGGTAACTACTCCGTCCATACCGTGGCTGTCAAAGTTATCCGTCCTGTAAGTGTGGCTCAGGGGCTCGCTCAGCCTCAGGCCAATTCAATTTCTTTATTATGCACCCCATACCCATTCCGTGGGCGGTGGTGTAAAGGATTACAGAGGCACACAAGGCCAAGCTGGCTTTTCTCATTATTTCATAATTATTCAGTCCCATGTATATAATTGTTAATTATCATTAATAATTTTTTGTTTACATGTGGACCAGACACCACAATCTGGTTGCAAAACGAGTAATTATATATATGTATAGGTAGGTAATAGTGTCCATTATCACTATAATGTTGGTTACATGCAACCATTATCTTGGTATAATGTTGGTTATATGCAACCATTATCACTATAATGTTGGTTACATGCAACCATTATCACTATAATGTTGGTTACATGCAACCATTATCACTATAATGTTGGTTACATGCAACCATTATCACTGTATAATGTTGGTTACATGCAACCATTATCACTATAATGTTGGTTACATGCAACCATTATCACTATAATGTTGGTTACATGCAACCATTATCACTGTATAATGTTGGTTACATGCAACCATTATCACTATAATGTTGGTTACATGCAACCATTATCACTATAATGTTGGTTACATGCAACCATTATCACTATAATGTTGGTTACATGCAACCATTATCACTATAATGTTGGTTACATGCAACCATTATCACTGTATAATGTTGGTTACATGCAACCATTATCACTATAATGTTGGTTACATGCAACCATTATCACTATAATGTTGGTTACATGCAACCATTATCACTGTATAATGTTGGTTACATGCAACCATTATCACTATAATGTTGGTTACATGCAACCATTATCACTATAATGTTGGTTACATGCAACCATTATCACTATAATGTTGGTTACATGCAACCATTATCACTGTATAATGTTGGTTACATGCAACCATTATCACTGTATAATGTTGGTTACATGCAACCATTATCACTATAATGTTGGTTACATGCAACCATTATCACTATAATGTTGGTTACATGCAACCATTATCACTATAATGTTGGTTACATGCAACCATTATCACTGTATAATGTTGGTTACATGCAACCATTATCACTATAATGTTGGTTACATGCAACCATTATCACTGTATAATGTTGGTTACATGCAACCATTATCACTATAATGTTGGTTACATGCAACCATTATCACTATAATGTTGGTTACATGCAACCATTATCACTATAATGTTGGTTACATGCAACCATTATCACTATAATGTTGGTTACATGCAACCATTATCACTATAATGTTGGTTACATGCAACCATTATCACTGTATAATGTTGGTTACATGCAACCATTATCACTATAATGTTGGTTACATGCAACCATTATCACTTGGTATAATGTTGGTTACATGCAACCATTATCACTATAATGTTGGTTACATGCAACCATTATCACTATAATGTTGGTATAATGTTGGTTACATGCAACCATTATCACTATAATGTTGGTTACATGCAACCATTATCACTGTATAATGTTGGTTACATGCAACCATTTCACTATAATGTTACATGCAACCATTATCACTATAATGTTGGTTACATGCAACCATTATCACTGTATAATGTTGGTTACATGCAACCATTATCACTATAATGTTGGTTACATGCAACCATTATCACTGTATAATGTTGGTTACATGCAACCATTATCACTATAATGTTGGTTACATGCAACCATTATCACTATAATGTTGGTTACATGCAACCATTATCACTGTATAATGTTGGTTACATGCAACCATTATCACTATAATGTTGGTTACATGCAACCATTATCACTATAATGTTGGTTACATGCAACCATTATCACTGTATAATGTTGGTTACATGCAACCATTATCACTATAATGTTGGTTACATGCAACCATTATCGGTATAATGTTGGTTACATGCAACCATTATCTTGGTATAATGTTGGTTACATGCTGGATTATCTCGGTATAATGTTGATTTAAATACCAAGAGTTGTAAGAGGACAAATGTCAGCACAAAACCATTAGTGCCAACTTCAGTGAACTGTATGATGATTATATTTTCTGTGTAATAATGGGTCTGAATGACTACGTCTATTTTTTCCTACTTATGTGATTATGTAATCACAGCAATAAAATAAGAATATGCCAACCAGCCTGTTCATTTACCTACAATATGTTAAAAAAGAGAGTTTCCAGTTCATTCGCCTGATTGGAATTTAATTTCAATCCCATTATCCATTATAAAAATAATTAGGGAACTTATTTTTTCCTAAAACTTCATTTTCTTTCATACTGATTAGTATTTTGGGTATGCACCATCGTATAACTACCTACGGAAGTAAATAGTTTGATGTGCATTACAAGGATAATATCCTTGTAATGTACATCACTTGTATATGAATATCCAGGAACATTGAGGGTCCGCGAGAACAAGTCCAACTATTGGCTTGGTCTGGAAAGATCTGATCAGCATCCAACAGTAGAACACGCAGCACTGGAAGGTTAAAGCAGTAATGTGCCATTCCTCTGCTTTTACGGAATATGTTCAAAACTAATTCTTAATTTTATATTGACTTAAATTTATATAGATAAGAAACCATGTTGCTTATAACGGGTACACAAAGTAAACCGTTTGAAAACGTTAATATTAGACCTGTTCTCAGCTTCACATGTACATATATCAGTACATGTTAGTGCAATATTGGGTCTTGTAAGTGTACATAGCCTACTGCAATAAGGTAGATGGGACAGTTTTATTAGCGATGGTAAGTATAATTTGTACATATTAGATGTAAAATATTGTGCCTTCCTCATTAAAGATAGTTTGTGCTCTCCTATTGCATCCTGAATATCTACACTCGTGAACAGTCTGTACCAAAGACTACTAAACAACCATCCTGACTTGCCGCTTTCTGATGATAACTTACACATTCAAATTCGTACTCGCTACGACTTTATTACAATTTTCAGTACATATGCATTCTGTACGCTCAATATGGAACCACTATGCATCAGTTTAGATAACTACATAATGATGAAAGATTCAGCACTATTAGCAGCCAGTCATGCCAATAAGCCCTTATAATTACACACACAAATCACAATAGCGTGATGCATCAAATGAACAAATCCACAAGGGCCGTGACGAGGATTCGAACCTACATCCGAGAGGATCCCAGACGCTGCCTTAATCGACTGAGCTACGACATGGAAAAGAATGGCAACCGGGAAATCATCTTGACCTACCGCGGATCCTGCAGTCTCTCCGAGACACAAACCAGGTTTTTACACAATTCCTCCATGCACCCGAGCTCTGTCAATAAGCTGTTCTACCTCTTCGCCCTTACGAAGAGGTAGAACAATACTCAAAAATATTTCTAGCAGTATACAAGATCTGGCATCGCTGCACGTGACGTCACTTAGCGTTTCCGTTGTTTACCTGAATTTACCTGTGGGCCACTATCTCTATAGTGGTTTCGACGAGGACAGTAAGCTGACGGCTTGTCAAAGGTCTCTCCCTCCCCCTCCCATTTGTCCTGATGCTCAGATCACATAACAACCTAACACTTTCCTACCCAAATGTTGTAGCGTCACTTGAGCAGGAAACCGTACGCACTCGCTAATCATAGCGTAATACAGAAAGTCAGCAACTTATTATTCAGAAGATTGCGCACGGATTTTACCGGTGTTGCTTAATATCATGAATTCTGATTTTTATATTCATTTTCAAGCGAATGTAGTTGGCATATCTCGCTCGGCATGCTGCCAGGAATTCGTCGGCACTAATAGATTGACTAAGTTAATACTTCTTGTTCCTGCACCGTGCTTGGACAAACCGGGGCCGTCCAAGCCCCGGTTTATATATGCCGTCCAAATAAGACGGTGTAGGAATCAACACAGTATTTCCTCGTCATTAGCTCTACTTGCCATAATTGTTTACGTTAAATCTCGTCTATAATATGGCATTAACATACGTGCATGCCATTAATTCTCGGTGAACTCGTCTGAAAGCATGGAGTGCACACACAGTTTGGCTTAGGTATCCTACAGGGACTTTGCCCTACTTTATGCAATGCATTGATAAATGTGTTGTGAAACTCGATGCATAGGAAACCTACTGAACACATTATTAGTTTGTTAATATGATCCGTACTGCTGTAAATACATGCATACAAAACACAGACGGGACACATGTTAGTACCTATAGGTACTATGTCTCCTCAACTTGATGCAAAATTAAGTATCCCAGAACACAATCATGAATTATACACAATCTACGAACTGAAGGCAACATCACGCAGATCATATATAACAGATCTCTCAATTCAGCTACAGCGAGGATAGGAAATGCTGCTATTGTTCATCAGGCTGATAGAACCACAAGTGAAAATAATGTAAGGTCAGTAATTAGGAATCTGCCTTGCAAGTTGAACTTTTTGCCATCTCTGTATCACTCAAAATTGCTGAAAATACTGCAGTAGACAGCTTAATTGTTTCAGATTACCTTTCTTCATTTCTAGCGTTGAATAGTTTACACTCATTGTAATACGCTCGACTCCGAAGCAAGACACTGTAACAGTTGAATTCTCTTCCCCTCCCACTATACCTACGTCTTCCCTCTTCCTCTCCGTCATGCTAGTACAAGGTCAGGAGATTGACCTTCGCAAAAACACCCTAGTATAGTCCTCCCCCTCCCACCATCTCCAAAACGCCTCTACATGTGTATCAGTTAATAACTCAAACTGGAAACCGTACTAGCACCCTCGTCCCCTTCTAAATCATAAACAAAGCTCCCAGCCAGCAGACGCTGATCACCAATGTCTCCTGGAACCCATAGGTGCTGTTTTGACCGAGCCGGGCAGGTGTCCCAGATGATTGATGAAGATTAAGCCACAGAGGTGGCACGGGCATGAGTAGTCCGTAAACAGGGTCCCAGATGACTCACATGGCAGAAGAATACCAGATAAGCAGAGAAAGAATAAGAGAAGAATGAATAAAGGCAGTGAATACCTTTAGTGCACATGTGTAAATTTTTCAAGGATTTAAACAAGTACAAAAAAAATCGAAGCCATGCGGATTACCTTTGAGTATCCTCATAACAGAGATACTTAATATTAACATGAATTTACTTGAGGGTCACTAACACCCTAGTTGTGTCGATGAGGACAGGAAGCCGGTGGCTTGTCAAACGTCTCCCCATTTGCCCTGATTTTGTCCAGCTGAATTTTAAAATTCAACAAAGTTTTGCAATTTACGGCTGTGTAGGGTAAGCGGTTCCATGGGCGGAACTCTGTGGGTGAAAAAGCCTCTCCTGTTTTCTGAGATGAGAGAACAAGTCAGTATCCCTTGCGTCAACGATCGTGCTAATGAAATTAGTGCTTTAAATGGTATCAAAATCCTTAGGTAAATCCATCTTAATGCTATATCAAAAGTCAACACATCATTCAAAGTGGATTACTACAACTGCAATTAAACTCTGATGTATCAGTCAAAATCTTGCAATACAGGCAGACAGAAGTGAAGAGAAACAACAACGGCACTTTCCTGGGAGACTGTTCTTCTAAATTACAATCTCTTCCCACCCCGAGAAGCAAATTATAGATACGCTCAAACTGCTGTTTATAGCATAGTCCGCTTTAAACCAGACTGATATTCACTTTGCAGAACACTTCCTTTCCCAAACAAGATGATGGATGACTTTCTTGATATATGATGAGATGACTTTCCCAGGATATGAGATGACTTTCCCAAACTCTGATGGATCCCATCATTCAGTTGGTACTGTCGGAAGAGAAGTTGTCGTGATACTTATCTAACTCAATAATTGTGCAAAAGTTTAGATTCGGGAAAGAATCTACATATTGAGGTCCTACAGATGTTTTCAGTTCCTGAAGCCCCTATGTGAATACCTTTTCCGCCACTGACTACAGAACGGAGGATCAATAATATGTGATCAACACGAGACGAGCGTGTAATTTGAGCAATTGGTGACGTGGTCAGTGCACTCAGTAGTTCCGGTCAGACAATACAATACAATTTTATTTAGGTAAGGTACATACATACAATAAATTTTTACAAGGATTGGTAGACTTATAGGTAGAGCTAGTACATACAATGCCTAAAGCCACTATTACGCAAAGCGTTTCGGGCAGACGTAAGTACCCTGTGAATGTGGTTCTAGTCCCTGGTCGCGGTCAGGCGGAGGAATACCATTGTTGGAGACAAGAATCCTGGTAGGCCTACCGAGGTCAGCTTAGCCATGAATTTAGAAACTACCGAGGCATGGCGGAGGCCTTCATGTAATGTTTGTTATTCAGTACTTGGAAAGTACAGCAGGATCCTCTGTAAGCTGAGCATATTACAGCAAAAAATATCACATCTACTTGTTGTACCTAAGAAGTGATGGAGTCGGAAAGTTGAAGACTTTACAGTGTACAGGAATGTGACAATTAATAAAGAAAATGCCGCGGTGAGCATATTAGTGAGGACTAGGAATGCGAGTAATACTGTTGGTCCACGACTTAACATTCTTGACGTGTGCAAAATGCACACATTTTGCACAAGGCTTAATTTGGTCGCTATGACTAACACGAGGATGACACTGTTCTATGTCCGTCATACAGAGGAGAGAACATATCCGGTTCTGTATAAGCTACGTACATAGTTTATACAGTTGAAGGAGATTTCCTGCCACTATGGGAAGCAAATAATTTCATAAGCGGTACGCCATCCGTACTGGGCAAGGGAGTATAGATTTATCTTTATGGGTGGAGTAGTTCAAATTGGTATACGTTGTATATACTCTTATCAGGGAAAGGAAGCCTCCTAGGCTTATCGACGTCCTCCTATCCAAGGGCGAGGCTGACCAAGCGGTCACCCTACCACTTACTAGCCAGAGGTAACAGTGTTTCACTACTGACGCGCTCATCATCCACTAACCACGTCATTGACTTATCATCACGTTGCATCCATCACCCTTGTGGAGCAACGAGCACTTGCCCGCTGTCGTGCCCAGCACTTAATGTTATGTGACAGAAGAGATTAACAAAGCAAGAGGTGGTGTCCCAAGCATCGATCAACTCCCTCGCTCATGCCTGCCAATACAAGCCCACTTATCGTTGAAATTTGTTTATTTCTCTCCCAGTAAGCAATAAACCTAACCCATCTACCATAACGTCCAACCACACAACTAGCACCAGACATTATAATTCCTAGAATGTTCTTTTGAAGCCTATTATTCGACCGTGCTCCTGCTGGTCGCATCACGGTCCCCAGGCCACGGGAGGGGTGGGGGCGGGGGAGGAAGCACGGCCACATATCCGGTTACATCAGGCTGTATTCCCAGCTCCCCGTGGGGCCTAGAGCGTCGTCGTCCCTCAACCATCATCATCATGGTGCCACCAGCTGGCCACCAAAATTGTAAATTGAATTTAGATAATGTATTTACACGTTCTTAATAAATTAGAAGAATGTATAGCAATTTTTTTGTGGAGTGAGAAAAAAGCGAAATTATGAAAATTTAACTAGAGTAACAAATTGGACACTATGAATATGCAGCTGGTATTACCACAGTAATTGGTGTTGAACGCGGCCCTATCATAGGTAAATCAAACAGTCAATTGATTCCACAATAAGGGGTATACACAGGTATATAAAGGGTTTACATATAAGTCAAAATAAACTATAGAACAAATAGCATGCTTAATGTTTCTAGTTACCAGCACATTCTTCTAGTCGAACGATAACATATATGGAGAGTTTATGAAAAACAAAAATAAATCATATTGTGTAAAATAGCAGAGTTGTTAACTGAAGAAAATATTCAACAAATGTTTAGGGAGAATTCGCAAGATTGAAGACCTTTTATTCTCTTCTCCGAGGCTATGGGTTCCCACAATTGCACCAGAGGTGATAACTCCTATACGTGTGTATCTATAAATGAAAAGTATTTTACATATTCAAATGGGCGCACACCAACAAGGATATCATGGAGATTTCAACGAGCCATGATGTGATCCATTACAACTATATAGGCACGTCATAGCTGGAAAAAAGGGCTTCTAAAGGGCTATACTGCTGAAATATATCATATGAATAAAATAAAACAAAACTGTTGACAGAAGGAAGTACATCACTTCCTTTACCCCTCGCCCCCTTCACACCGTCAGTCTGGCTGACACTGAACACCGACCTACATGCATACATGTGAACTTTTGCCATTCGTCTCCGGCCAGTCCTCAACCTTAGCGGTGTGCATTACCTCCGTGTATACGTGTGGCCTACATATATGCGCCCATCATGGAGTACCCTGCAAGCTCCTCTCTCCTATCAAGTGGCAATGTAGCTGGTTTTCTCTTCCCCTCCTGACATGCACACACACACACACTTTATCATAGTAGAGTGTTCAGAGTATGTACTGTGTGTACGTATACACGTCGTCCATGGGTTCCAGTATGACTCATGAACACTTAAACGGTATTTCCTGACTTACTCGCTCCTCCTGAATCACAGCTAACTTGGGCGCAATAACCACTGAAATCTATAGATATCTTCAAAACTGCTCAAGCTTTTCTCGACTAATTTTAAACAGTGTATAAACTAATCAGATTCTACTACCTATTAGGCCAATTCAACTAACAAAATTGTTGGGCGACTGCTTGATTAAGAGCCAGTAACGTAAATATGAATTACAAAATAATATTTTGTTTTCCCAGTAAGTATTTGTAGTAAGAGTTGCATCAAGGCCACCCACTGACCCACAGGTAGGACTTCTAAACTATAAGAGGTAAACCTTCTTTATGATTATGTAAAAAAATGTTAGGTGGGAAAGCGGATAAATATTATCATGGGTAAGGCGGGCTTGTCAAGATCTCTCTGCTCTTACGTTTCTGCCCAAGTTTATGGTGCCTCAGAGGGTTAATGTGTTAAAACCAAAAACACCATATATATACGCATGAACTGATCTATGACACGGTAATTTGACACACACAATTATTATTATTATTATTATTATATATATATATATATATATATATATATATATATATTATATATATATATTATATATATTATATATATATATATATTATATATATATATATAAATTGGCCTTGCGTTATGACACTTCATATTGATAGATATACCTTTTTAAAACTAGTTATTATTATTATATATTTATGTTGACGGAAACTGCAATTCGATTTGTCAAAATGATATAAAAATGATTACCTAGGAGATATGTGGTGATAATGAGAAACTAAATTTCCAGGATGACGGTTGCTCTAAATGGTGAAAGGTGAATCACTAGTAGCACAAGGCTCTTTAATATTATGTTGACATTAGGTACATTAATGTGATTGTAAACACAAATTTTCTTTCACGAAGGTGGAGGGTCAACAAGGTCAACTAAGGTCAATAAGTGACTACGAAAAGAGAGAGAGAATACAATTCATTAGTAATCTTCTTCCGTGCGCATGTTTATGTATAAGGTGGAGGCATCCAAGCTAACGATCTAGAAAGAATATCCTACGCGTTATTGATGAGTTCATATGCATAGTTACTCGTGATTGTTACCAAAAGGTATATTAATGAGGCCCTAGGATGTATGTAGGGTGCTGTAGGACCTGCCCTACATGAGAGGGTGCCAGGACCAGCCAGCACCCACACCAGAGCGTGTGGCAACGCCGCCTGGAACACCCTCACCTGCTGGGACATCCGATACCCCTCACCTGGCCAACCCCAGCACTGACTTCCTCTTACTTGATCGAAACAAACACGAAAATATATTTAGTTTGTAACGTTTTTAGAACGTATTTGGATTAAAACATCCTCCGAGCTTGTAAACAGATCCAATTCCAAGAAAATATGTCTATAAAATTAAGATAATCTCGTGGAAGCCATGACATCCGAACGCGTCTTAGGCGAGGTTGTCGTTACGCTGGACACTGCGGAGTGAACATTACTGGAGGATCATGGACGATAAACGCTCCTGGAGAAGCTCTGTGGGAATTTTACAAAATGGACAATCTTGGGATTCTTTCAGTAAAGAAATCAGGCCAACACCGCCATCAGGCAAGTAATAAAAAAAGTTGGTGTGTGTGTGTGGGGGGAAGATGGAGGCACACGACCAGACCCATCCCTCCAGCAGTGTGTTTACGCCTATGTGGTGGAGGAGGGGCGGTAGGGGCCCTCTACACTGCCTCACTACCCGGCCTCCTACCACCACCTACACACCGTATTACCTCCCCCCTCATTAATACCGAACGGCTATGCGGGATCCAGTGTTTGAATATTTGAAGTTAGGGCGCACGCGTGTGGAATATGGGTGTTGTTTCGTGTGTGGTTAATGCGTACAAGGGTGGTGGTGGTGGTGGCATTACTGCCATGCAGGCGGCGGACATGGCCGGGTGGAGGCCGGATGCTCCCTCAGCATCCCAGCCTCCACCATGGCTTCACTTGCCTCTGGCTCCACTATATCAGGCTCTGACGTGACAAATGGGGTTTATACACAAATGGCAAATTATTTGATAATTAGGCATTTGGCGTACAAGGGTGTATAGCCTCTTTGAAATATTTTTTTCACCCTTCAATTCTCATTATATTGAAAATAGAATACAGCTTTGAGATGGCACCAGTAAATCGTACATCGAGATTTCAACACGCTTCGTTTTTATAATTGTTTCAGTTTCCTAGAAACAGAAAGCCTTAATTAAGGGTCATCGATAACCCGTAGCTAGGCCAATGAATGAACATTTCCCAAAATGCAACCCACAACAGTTGCCTAACTCTTGGGTATCTATCCCTAGTTACTAAGGGGTGAACAAAGGCATGAGGTGTAAGGACACACGTAAAACTTCTTGCCCTGCCTAAGAGTTGAACTTTGGTCAAAACTGTTGTAAACAGACTGCATTAACCACTAATTGGTCGAGTTGTTTGGTGAACTGTTTTGTGTGCAAAACAGCCTGCAATCACTTTAATATTATTAAAAACATTGATTTGTTGTTTAACCAGGTGTTGTGAACTAAAAACTAAAACACTATACTGTACTATGTTAGTGTTTTCTTCACGTCAGTCGCTGGAGATTCGAACTCAGGGTCTTAAAAGTACAAGACTTGTGAATAAAATGTTTTACTACATTACTGTGGATTGCATCTTGTACACACTACTATACAGCATTATTATTTACATGATGCAATTTATTTTCCCCAGAAAGGGGAAAGGGGATTGTCCCAGACTGGATTATCAGACTTATCAAAGTACCGAAAACATTATCAGTTATAGAATGATCCGAGCCATTTTAATACATGTAGTTAAAATGTTGGAGCATAAGTATATTGTACTATATTACGTTTCATTTTCAGATACAGTGTGAAAACCAGTCTTAGATATAATTACTAACATTTATAATTGGAAAAACAGTAGGCCTACTGTATTTAGCATACAGTATTATTGGTAATCTGTGGTGCTACTACCCAAGAGTTATCTAAAATATGCTGTAACCTCAGCAAGGACAACATACAAAATGGCCTCAGTTGCAGGAACGAGCGTATACTCTGGCTACCCGAACCGCTTCAGTCGACGTACTTCTTTGGCATCATCATATTTTCCACCAGTAATAGAAAAAGTGTATAGTTTTGTCAAACCCTCAAGTAATTATCATCTTTATTTTTGTTACTGATATACAGTATTGTATTTCGATAGAGTAATCCCTATAAACTTTAATAATAAGTGAATATTAAGTTTTATCGATACTGTATTATTTTATTTATTAATTCATTATTGTATTTCTAATATTTTATAGAAATTGCTAAAACAAACTGACTTATACTAGATACAATACTATAAAATTTATGGGGAACTTAGTACAGTAAAATACTGTAGTGTTTGAATGAAGGTTAAGAAAAGACCCACTACACATGTAACTGTGTTATTAAACAAATTTTTTTTATGAAACCTGCATTGTTTATCCAAGTGTTGTAAACAATTGTTCACAGCACCTTGATAAAGGATGTAGGTTTCATCCAAAAATTGGTTTAACAAAGCGCATTGGGTCTTTTATTCACCTTTCATAAAATTTACATTATTTAGCACTTAACTAAATGATCAAGTTATACCAGTACCTGAAAAGTTAATTTAAGCAATTTATACAAGATTTTATTTTATTTATGTTTTTCTAATGTAGGCCTAGGATACTGAATTTATTTCACTTGTCCTACTGGATGTGTTATTTGGTTATCTACCAGAAAGCCTACCCAGTAACTGATTGGGTGACCATGCTGACAGTTTCAACTTCGACTAGGAGGGGGGGGGGGGACTCCTCAGTAAACCTAACAGGCTAGGTATCCTGACAATGGTATACCATATATAGGCAATCATATAATGTAATATTTATACAGTATATATATATATATATATATATATATATATATATATATATATATATATATATATATATATATATATATATATATATATATATATCGTACCTAATAGCCAGAACGCACTTCTCAGCCTACTATGCAAGGCCCGATTTGCCTAATAAGCCAAGTTTTCCTGAATTAATATATTTTCTCTAACTTTTTTCTTATGAAATGATAAAGCTACCCATTTCGAAAAACAATTCATGAAAACTTGGCTTATTTTTTTATTGGAGTTAAAATTAACGTGGATATATAACCGAACCTAACAAGGCCCGATTTGCCAACCCAACCTAACCTAACCTATCTTTATAGGTTAGGTTAGGTTAGGTAGCCAAAAAAGTTAGGTTAAGTTAGGTAGGTTAGGTAGTCGAAAAACAATTAATTCATGAAAACTTGGCTTATTAGGCAAATTGGGCCTTGCATAGTAGGCAGAGAAGTGCGTTTTGGCTACTAGGTACGACATATATATATATATATATATATATATATATATATATATATATATATATATATATATATATATATATATATATATATATATATATATATATATATATATATATATATATATATATATATATATATATATATATATATATATATATATATATACCTATATATATATATATAGTATCTGAAATGACTGATTAAAAAACTATGCTGGAAAGGAAACAATAATTTTAAACATATTTTGTGAACAGGCCTACTGTATTTCTTGATAATGTATTAATACATACATGAAAGTGGTCAATTACAGTACAGTATAGTGCCATTTCCTGTTGTGATTACTTTAATACATTTCATTTGTTTATATGTGTGTATACTGTTTATATGTAAGTATACTTTAAACATTTTTGTATACTGTATATCTTATATGTATATACATATATATATATATTACAGTACATATTTATATATATTATATATATATTTCATATGTTTATATGTGTGTATATATATATATATTTATATGTGTATATACTATTTATATATATATATATATATATATATATATATATATATATATATATATATAATAATGTACTTGCATATAGATACTGTATATGCAAACTTGGTTAAATATGACTATATAACCTTTGTTAAATACACCTGCTCCCCAAGTATGCTTCTAACTATTTTCTTAGTGCCAGTATTATTAAGAAAAGCAATCAAGTTACCAAAATTCATGGTAAAGAAACAAGTGATTACTGAAGGGTTTATTTTCTACATTATTTAGTTCCACTTTGGAACATCTTCAGGTAAAGAATGAATACATAAGGTGCAATCTTATTCTTTACCCGAGTAAGAGTTCAAGAGTGGAATGAAACATTGCAGGAAATAAGTCTTTTCAATAATTACTAGTTTCTTTGCAATGAATTTTGGTTACATGATTGCTCTTCTTAATACTGACACTAAGGAAATAGTTAGGAGAATAGAAAGCTTGCACTATAGCATCAACACCAGCAATGCAGTCATATTTAACCAAATGTGGTTAAAGGAATGCCTGCTGCCCAAGTACAGTATATATAATATATACAGTACAGTATATGCTTTATCATAATTATATATATTTATTTCTTTATTTACCTTTCTTTAAATTTTTCAGCTGCGATGGTAAATGCTGGAATAATCACATTTGTTGCCACTGTCTTTTTTGTCATCTCATTCACTAGGTCAGTATACAATAGCTTAGATATTTTTTATAGATTTTAATTATAATAGATTACAACAAATTAATCTCTAGTCATTTTTGTAATTTACTATAGGTCCATCTAAATTTTTTTCTATCTAAATTTTCTATATACTGTAGACCAATTCAATAACATAGTATTGCATTAAGTTTGTGTTTCAGAACATCTTCAGTCATTATTCATCACGTTCAGTAGTACTTCACCTTCGTTCATTGTGTCATCATGTTCAGTAATGTTTTACCTTCATTACATTCATTATGTGCAGTTGTATTTCAGCTTCATTGTGTGTGTTCATGTTCATTAGTGGTTTTACCTTCATTCATTGGGTTCATCATGTTCAGCATTGTTTCACCTTCATTGTGTTCATGTTCAGCCATGTTTTATCGTAATTTTGTTCGTGCTGAGCACTTTCAATTTCATTCATTATAGTGTGTTCATCATCTTCAGATATATTTTAGTTTCATTTCTTATACTATTGTTTAGCAATGTTTCAGCCTCATTTTGTAGAATTTATCATGTTCAGTAATGTTCTGTGCATTTTTAATACCATACTTTGATCTCTCTACATTTTCTCTTACTACATACAGAGACTATAGAGCAGAACTTTGTGAAGAGTCACTTTGCAAGGATGTATCTAAGAGTAATTTATCCTTATAATATTTGAGTCAAATGTGATTTGATTGTATTTACATAACTAACAGAACAATGTACAGTACTTCCTTTTGAAAATACAGAATATCAATATCAATGGAATCGGCTGAAAAAATATGCACAGAAATGTAATTGTTAAACAATTACATTTCTCGTCTTTAATATGCATTGACTTAAGTCTAATATCTAAATTAACTTTAAACTTGCCTAGACGGTAGAGCGATGGTCTCGCTTCTTGCAGGTCAACGTTTAATCTCCCACCATCCACGTGGTTGGGCATCATTCCTTTTCTTCGTCCTATTCTCCTTGTCTCTTTTTTTCCCTACCAAGTGCTATACTGTATAGTCGTAATCGTTTAATGTTTTCTTCTGATAATTACCCTACCTGGCCTGACTTTGTGTTAATAACTTCGGCCTTGTTCTAAAATATCTATTCGTTGCACAATATGCAATGTGTTCTCAGTTTACCATTATCAAAAAGTTAAATGTTTTGCCTTTAAAAAAAGAACCAAAGAAACCCATCTAACTTATCTAGGCCAACGTGCAGAAACCCAGCGTTAAATGTAGTGAAAGGCCTACTCTTGGTTGAGCCCAGGTGGCTCCCTGAAGTTATTTCACTGAGATTGCTCCATGCAAGTGGGTCATATCACATGGAGTTCATTTTGGTCTGACAGGGATCTGAGCCAGAACTTGGCCACTCGTGCAGGTTCAGAGATCAAGTGACAATTCACCACCACCACAAGAAAAACATGTAGGAAGTCGGTGAAGCTTTACAAACAACCGGAAGGTTAACAAAAACCAAGCCCTCAAAAAGGTCAAACTCTACAAACATACAAACGATTCACACAGAACAAGAGGAACACTCAAAATTAAAGTGAAATTCATAGTACCGAATGCCACCACTAAATGGTTCAGCTTCTGCATGAAGCCATTTTCCTTGCTAGTTGCACACTGATGAACTGCTAACCTGGTAGGGTGGGAGGGAGTCTGGGAGCCACTGGGGCTCATCCAGAAAAGTGAATTTTGTTATATTCAAAGTAGGTTTTCTGGGAAAGCCTCCAATGGCTGCCTGAAGCTAACTACAGAGAACAAAAACTGGATTTTCCAGCGAGGAAGAGGTGGTGGTATGTACTAGGATGAAGAGGAGACTCAAGTCAGGAGAGGGTGCTGAAGGCAACACATGACCAATTGGGACCAGGTACATTAACTAAATATTGGGCAACCAGTACCCTGTCAGAACGCTAGAACCCTCGAATCCGAATATCGGCCCAGGACATGTTGGAGAAGACTATGGCAAATGCAGCATACATGTGAACATCATGGGCCCAAGGGCAGACTGCAGGCTTGCCAGATTACTATGACTTGCAAAATATGAGCCTTGGAACAGAAGACTCAGGAAACAGGGTTAATCGACAAAGGCATCAACCTAGACACAACTGGTGACCTGCTGGTGGCAGCGAAAAGCTGTTACAGGACGCAACACGTGATGAATCCTCAGCCAGACCAACCAAGCATTGGTCACCAATGGACCCTCTGAAAGCTAACCAAATCATTCTTCACCAGAAAAGAAAAATGCTGCAAATGAACAAACTACCCACCTATCTTGAGAAAGGTATTTGAGAGGTTATCTTGTGATGATTTCGGGGCTTAGTGTCCCCGTGGCCCGGTCCTCTACCAGGCCTCATTTTTGTTACACACCCCCCCAGGAAGCAGCCCGTAGCAGCTGTCTAACTCCCAGTAAACTAGTAAATAGTAAATCCTATTTACTGCTTGGTAACAGAGGCATCAGGGTTAAAGAAACTCTGCCCATTTGTTTATGCCTCCACTGGGGATCGAACCATAATAATGACAATAGACATCATAAACTCCAGATGTGTAGAGCAGAAGAGGTCAAACCAGTGAAATACATTGTTGGGCTGATCTGCTGAAAGAGGTGAAGATGTGTAAAAAGAGCCAGGGCTAGACACTGGGCTAGAAGTGCCAAAAACCAAGGGTGGGCCCATCACTAAGGAGTAAGAAGGATCACCTCAGGAAGGGGATGGCTCCCCCTTCCTTCCAAATACAACTCCAGAATATACAGAACCTGGAGCAAGAACTGAACCAGGAGAAAATATAAATACACCACCTCAACCAATCCATTCAAAGGCATCCACTGCGAGGGCCTCGTGATTGGGAAATGGAGCCATGTAGAAAGGAAGGCGCTCGTTCCACAAAAATGTGAAGAGGTCCACCACAGGGTGACCAAAAGTCTTGCAGATCCAACAGAACGACGCTTCATCAATGGTCCACTCCACAGAAATACGACGACAGTGAAATAACCCGTTTGCGAGAATGCTGGACATACCTCACATGTCAATCACGAACTACTTGAAGTGTCAAGGTCCACAGGCGATGACCCCAGCTGGAGCGCAGAGCCCAGAGGAAGCCATATCCTCCACAAGGCATGCCACACAGCTGCAAACTTGCACACTGTACTATGCAGCTGAAGGAAATGGGCCCAAACACTAACCTTGGGCAGCCAGGTGAGTGCTGGTCAGGAAGCCCCAGCCCAGAGCCAAAGCACAGATGAACATAACAGGTGATGAGGTAGGGTGGCACCATGTAACCAAATCCCAAAATCTCCAAAGAGGAAGCTGGCGAGACAAAAGCCAACTAAAGGCAGATGGGGTCTGAACCCGCCAGACCTGGAAGCAGTGAAATGGGTGGAACTTGAGAAACCAGAACAATGCTCAGAGCCAAATTCTGCCCAGGGCAAAGACAATGCAGGCAAAGTTGAAGATTCTGTACAACTGCTAAACTAACCAGTCACCCAGGGCTGATCCAACACCAGCTGGCAATGAAGCTGAAGCTAACAAAGCCGCCAGAGACAGGGAAAGAGAAGCCGACCAAGAGTCCTAAACTAGGCCTTGCCAAGTCCGAACCTGGTTTGAAACCAACTGGGGCTTCTGCCAGTTCACCTGATGCCTGAACATAGCAAGTTTGAAAAGAACCAGATCCCTGGCTTGCTAATATGCGGATTGACTGGAAACCCGAATCAGCCAGTCCTTGAGGTAGGCTAATACTGTACATGAAATCCTAGAAGATGCAACTGTGACTACAATCACCCATGCCAACCTTGTAAACACACACACAGCCAAATACAAAAAAACAAATTTTGGTTTTGAGTTAAACCAAAAGGGGGACCTTGAAGCGGTAAGCCTGATACCGCACCACAAACCCAACCAATTCCTTAACCTGGGATGAATAGGGACATGCCTATGTGTGTCCTTAAAGTCCTGGGACACCATCCAAGCCTGGTGCACTTGTGTGCCAAGGTAAGTCATGCGGAAGGTTGGACAGGCAAGGAAGATATTCAAACCCAAAAGATTGAGGATGTACTGGTAGGTCCGCCGAGTCACTTTTTGGGATTGGAAATAATTGGGACATCTGCCGAAGGGACCAGGTCAACTCGGCTGCACCTGAGGCCAGCCAGTCTGTAGTGACCAAATGCAGAGCCTGGGAGGATACCTGATCTGAAAACCCTGACTGGACTTAGTCCAAGTGGAGATCACCATCATCTCTGATTCCAGATACCTAAATTATCATGGGGGCCAACTCTGGGGCCATTCACCCCGGTGGCCTGGCCTTTCAGGGTTGAACTTCTGAACACACAGGAGATGATATCTGTCAGTGCAGGGACAGTGTTAGCAGGCACCCTGTGAAGGAACCTAGAGTGCATGCAATCTGAAGCACAACAAAACCAATCTCACACAGTAAGCCAGATAGAAAACATGCATGAGAAGCAAAAACCAGAATATATAACAGCACAGTACGAGCCAAATGGCCCCCACAGGGACAAGGCCAAGGATAGCCAGCACTTAGGTTGAAGCAGGGAGGCTCAATACGTCCAAAAGACCCAAAACAGTACTATACAGTAGGACTTCAGTGCAAGAACTGGCAAGAAAGATTGCTACATGCAAAAGCTGGACTGCCTGGTGGTGGCATTTGGTACTATGAGTTTCGTGCTAATGTTGAATGTTTATTTTGTTCTGTGAGAATCGTTTGCACAGCTGTTTGACATTTTCAAGGATCTGGTCTTTGTTAACCTTCCAGTTGTCTGTAAAACTTCACTGACTTTTTGACTGCTTTCCCAGTGTGGTGGCAAACTGTCACTTGCTCTCTGTGCTTCTGTGAGGTGAGGCCAGGTTAAAGTTCTGGTCCCTGGTAGGCCAAACAGAACTCCCATATCTGACGTGGCACATTTGCATGGAGCATTCTCATCGAGATGCAGTAACTTCAGGGAGCCATGTGGGCTCCACCAGAAAATGGCAATATTATGGTGTTTTCATTTTTAGTATTAGGTTACAGATGAAGTTAGAATAACGTGGTTGAAAAATGATGACCAAACCACGCACTAGAAATTGAAGAGACGACAATGTTTCGGTCTGTCCTGGATCATTATCAAGTCGATTGATAATGGTCCAGACACTGAAACGACGTCGTCTCTTCAATTTCTAGTGTGTGGTTTGGTCAACATAGTATTAGGTCGCATTTATAACAGATTGAAATTTTTTTTTAAAATGTGATGTATTAGATGAAGGAATTAATTGTAACATGGTGCTAGTATCTTCCAATAGAAATTTTTTCATATCACCCTTGAATTAATCTTCACTGCTTGGTCCCTATCATTTTTTTTTTTTTTTTTACTTTACAGTATTTCATCTTGTTAATGCAACATTTTGTGTACTCTCCTATTAACCTGCATTTAATAATGTTAACATCAAATAACATGCATTAGTGACAGAATTGCAAATTCTAAAATATATATTCATTAACCTTAATTTTGTAACAGCAACTTTTACTGTTGACATCTTTATTAGGCTAACTGTAAAGCCTTTTTATTTATCAACATTCAACCTTAAGTCTTTAATAATTTGACTTAACATTGCAAGTTTACATCTAGCAAAACTTCATGAATTTCCAGTGTTGTGATATAAGTGTTCAAGGCCTGTATAGGTTTGTGAGCTGGAAAAGTCAACTTTCACCTTCCAAATAAGTGAGAGATGACAACATTTCTTTTAATGTCTTTTAGAGCAGTATTACCTTGATGTAATTATTAAGATGAAGTTTTACATAAACATGCTATACAAGATTTGTGTAACACTATGATATTGGTAATATAGATCAACATCATGGCTAAAAGTTGACAAAAAAGGCTCCTTATAAATTAAATAGGCTGTAGTATGCTAATATGAAAATATATAACTACCAAGGGTTAAATATAAAATATTTCAGGATTTACTTATATTAATAATTTTGGCTTCATAATTTGTATGCTTATTTTTCATATATAATTATATTAATAATAGACTTTATTTCAGTCCATACTGGCTGCAGTCGTATTCGTACACATACAGTGACTTCAACAACATGGGACTGTGGGAGTTCTGCTTCAATGGGTTTCGTTATCCAAAGTTCCAATATGATCACAAATTTACAGGTTGTAACTACATCTTCTCAGAAGAATACAGAATTATATGGTCATGGATGTTGCCAGGTAATGCAACTAATGTTATGATTCTTTGTATTTGATTAATGCAAGTTATAAGTACAGTACTGTATATACATTTAAAGTACGATACTCTAAGGTATTGAGCAGGGTCAACAATTTAAACCCAACCACTTTTTCAAATTACTGTATCTCGTGGCATTATTGAGAGGCCAAAACTTTCACAATATCTATTTACAATGCAGAATACTGTATATATATAATAAGAAATCATCCAACAGATATGCCATAAATTAGCAAATACTAGTCAACCAGGAAAGAAAACTCCCAAGATCCTATTTTTACAAACAATAATGGCTTGATTAGATACTGATTACAAATGCATTACTCGGATTACAACCTAAATTGAAGTTCAGACATGCATGGGCAATAAACCTGTGCAGCTAGTCTCAAATCCAAGAGAAGGAGAAATCAGCAAATTCAATTTTAATAACAGATTAACTGGGAACAAATAAACCAAAAATCTCACAGAAATATGGTAGGAAAAATAGTTAAAAAAAAAAAACACACACAAAAATAGATGTCTTCCTAACTCCACTCAACTTTGAAATAGCCATAGGCAGCATGCCCATGCACTCTGTACCAGGCCCAGACTCCTGGAATTCTATATTCATCAAGAATTGCAAACAAATCATTATCACATGTTCTAAACATCATTTAGAGATGAATTCTAAATACTGGTGTTATCCCCGACATACTTAAAACAGCAGAGATTGCACCACTTCCACAAAGGTGGCGGCTACCAACATCGTGGTGATTCCGGGGATCGATGTTTCCATGGCCTTGGGCTATGCAAAAAATTGTAGACTAATAGCTTTTATCACAAATCATAAAAATCTTATGTGTAAAGAAAAAAAAAAAGCGCTAAGTAGTAAGGTCACAAAAACATGGAATCACAGTGTCTCCATAACGTTGTGCAATATGGGTTCAGGACACGGCACCCTGCCTATCTCAATTGCTAGACTACTATGATATGGCCTTAGATGCCATGGAAGATGAGCAAAAATGCTGATATAACATGCACCTATTTTGTAAAAGCTTTTGACAAATATGACCGTAGTGTTATTGCGCACAAAATGCGCATAAAAGGGATTACTGTACTGGCAAAGTAGGAAGATGGATCTGTAATGTTCTAATGAACAGAACCCAGAGTGAACCTTATAAATGTAATTTGTATTAGTTTCTTCTGGTAGTTGACATTACTACAGCAATTAATTGCTTTAGTTGGAATGGCCTACGTTCTAGGATAATCTAATGCTCAACAAAATATAATCTGAATCATCCACCGTGAAAAGCTCAGTCCCTCAAGGCACCGTGCTTGCTTCAGTACTCTTCCTCATCCTCATATCATAGACAAGGATACAAACTATAGTACTGTACCATCCTTTGCAGATGACACTAGAATTTTCATGAGTAGACAATATAAAGGACACAGCAAACCCCAGTTGAATGTTAATAAAGTCTTTCAATGGGCCACAGAAAACAACAATGTTTAATAAGGATAAGCTCCAGTTTCTGCTGCAATGGAAAATCAAATATCAAAACAAACCACATATAAAACAGTCAAACCACACTGTTAAAGGAAAAGGCAGAGTAAAAGATTTAGGAATAACCATGTCAGAAGACCTTACTTTTAAAGAACATAAAGTAGTTATTACAACTGCAAGAAAAAGGACATTTTGGATAAAGATGTCACACCAATGGTGATACTAACAGCCCCATTCAAAGGTGAAAAAATTGATGACCTGGAGAGCATGCAAAGAACCTTTACTGCTAGAATCCACTCAATAAAACACCTAAATTATTGGGCCTGCTTAAAAATTTAAAATCTTTATTCCCTAGAGAGCAGATGAGAGATACATAATAATTTACACTTGGTTAGTACTAGAAGGATTATTTCCAAATCTGCACACATAAATAACACCAGATGACATGTCAGGATGTACAGAATATCCCCAGTGAAAAGCAGAAGTGCAATATGGGCATGCTAAGCGAGAACTCAATCAACATCAATGACCCAAGACTTTTCAACACTTCCTCACTACACAGATGGGAATAACTGACTTATCACAGTGTTCAAAAGTGAACTGGAAAAACAGTCACATCAGACAGCTTTGTTGATCAGACCACCAACCAGGAGGCCTCTGGTCAGAGACTGAGCCACGGGGACGTTGATCCTCAATCATCGACAGGTAAATGGCAGGTACTTGTGAATTACTTCAAGAGAGGAAGCATTTCATATCAAGTGTTAATTGTGTTTTGACAGTTATTAGACTGCTCAATGGTGGATATATACATAGGCTTTGTAATATGTCATTGTGCAGTAGTACTGTATATAACTACAACTGCTGGTACAGTACAACCTCGATTCAACGAATCTCCGGCTAGTTCACACACTTTTCAGGCCGGATTTACTCACCCGGTTCGACGAACAATGGTTCGCTGAAGCGGGGGATGTTCGGATTTGCTTACGACGTCGAGACAGAGTTCACAGACTGGTGGAAAACTTTCACATTCTATCACAGATTACAATTATTAATTCCTTCATATGACAAGTTTGATCACACAAGTGGACCACACAAGTGGACCGCACATGTGGTCCACAAGTGGTCCACAAGCTTACGATGTTGGGACAGAGTTCACAGTGGTGGAAAAACTTTACCATACCATCACATATTACAATTAATAATTCCTTCATATGACAGTTGGATCACACAAATGGACCACACAAATGGACCACAAGTGGTCCACAAGCTTACGATGTTGGGACAGAGTTCACAGAGTGGTGGAAAACTGTTTCTATCACAGATTACAATTAATAATTCCTTCATAAGACAAGTTGGATCACACAAGTGGACCACACAACAAGTGAATCATATGAACCAAACACCAGCCAGAATGGTCCACAAGAAGTGACGCATATTAACCAAACACCAGCCAGAGTCGTCCACACAAGTGAACGACCGAGTTTCAATGATTTTCGTTCACCGACTTGTGGCATACGTATCTTTGTAAATTAATTTAAAGGCTGAAGCGTGAATAGCTAGCTAATATGTTGAAATCTTCTTATATACATTTTCTGTGATGAAACAAGATGAGTGAGGGTGGACAGAAGGGAATACTGTACAGTAAATCTCATTTTACAGTGAGGTTTCACTCACTTTCGTCTGTGTTGTCATAGTTCAGTGACCCATGGCTTTGAACGTTTCACATTAATAAATCATTTCTAAAACTGGTGTTTTAATAACTCTTTATTATCCTAATTAAACTAAATAAATAAAACCAAAAATATACTGTAATAAGATAGATATCTCCTATTTGAGAAATTATTCACGTTATTGGCAGCACAACTCTAGCACGAGTGGACAGGTCTAATCCCTGTCCATACAACACCATGCTTGTTGTGTTCGATTTCGTCGCCACAGTTCAGCGATCTACGGCTTCGAAATAATAAAATTAATAAATCATTTCCAAAGTAAGTATTTTTTATAGCTCTTATTATCGTAATAATGTTGCTAAGCTAAATATGTAACCCAAAAATATATAATTTGATGTAAATCGAATTGTTAAGGGAAATTTATGTTACTGGATCAGGCTTAAACACCAGCCTACTGAAGGGTGTACGTATAGACTTAGTCTGCGTTCGTACAGTATGCACCCAGTGCCCTTAGCTTTGTCTGCGATTGACGTACAGTATTTATCCGCTGGTGGAAGAATAATCGTGGAATTTACCATTTTTTTACTACAGCTCTGGTTATAAAACAAAATGTCTTAGGGGCTTACTAATAGTGCCTTATTAATGCCAAAAATGAAGCAATATTTTGCAAGAACTAGTAGCAGAAAATCAACCAGCACAAGAACAGCCGTACCCAACACGAGAACAGCCGTACCCAGCACGAGAACAGCCGTACCCAGCACGAGAACAGCCATACCCAGCACGAGAACAGCCATACCCAGCACAAGAACAGCTGTACCCAGCAAGAGAACAGCTGTACCCAGCAAGAGAACAGCTGTACCCAGCAAGAGAACAACCAGCACGAGAACAGCCGAACCCAGCACGAGAACAGCCGTACCCAGCACGAGCACAGCCGTACCCAGCACGAGCACAGCCGTACCCAGCACGAGCACAGCCGTACCCAGCACAAGCACAGTTGTACCCAGCACTGGTACAACAGCCGTACCCAGCACAAGCACAGTTGTACCCAGCACTGGTACAACAGCAGCCAGCACCAGCTCAGAAGCAGCTGAACCCACAGCAGCAGCGAGCACCAGCAAAGCTGATGCAAACATCTAAAAACATCGTGTGCAGCGTGAACAGTTAGAACAAGTGTTAAATTTAAGTGTGTACACAGTGTTAAAATTAAAGTTGCAGTAATTTTAGTGTACAATAGTTTTCATAAACTGTATTGTAGTACTCAACATACAACAGAACTACTTTTAATCAACACAGTGCTAACGGAATAATGCACTGCAGTACGTATTTAATGTAGAGCATTCACAACTTCACGAAACTTCAAGATGGACATAACTTCAACAATAAGGTAAATTTATGAATTACAGTATTTTTTAGTAGAAAAGTAATATATAGGTAGAGTATGTAATATGATAATGCATTTTTATTGTGTACAAGAAAAAAAAAAGACACTGACACAAACGCCTCCTGAAGGTCACCTCTTGCAACGAATCCAACGCTCCAACGAACTGGGGTTGGTCCCATATAGTACGTTGAATCGAGGTTGTACTGTATGTGAAAATAAGTGGAAAATGGTTGTCAATGGAGTGGTATAAAGTTGAAGTCTGAGAGCATATGTTAGATGGATAACAATATATGACCACAAAATTTGATGCTCTACATTTCTTCATTGAATCATCTAGTGTTACTACATCACTTCTCAAACCAATAACCAAAGATTTTTTTTTGTTATCAGAATATAATGCAAGGAAAAACAGTTTATTCTGAATGTAACACTATGGCCCAAAGGCCAGACAGTATCTTAAACTTTTACTTTTGTGTATGGTTTGACCTGGATTAAAAGAAAGTATACTTTATTTATTATCGGAGTGAAGTGTGTTTATGGCCGCCTTATAAATGTAATTTGTATTAGTTAATTCTGGTAGTTGGCACATTACTACAGCAATTAATTGCTTTAGCCGGGAATGGCCTATGTTCTAGGATAATCTAAGTCCCACTTTCCCCCCTTTCAGATTTTACTTTTGGGTTAATATTAGATTTAAAATTATTTAGTAGTCATTATTAAGTGCTTATAGTTTAAAGCTTTATTATCCTCTTGCCTACCATGGAACATTAAATTTGTGTTTTGAAAAAGTGCACTGCTGCATCTCTTGCCATATAAACCAGATCATCTTATTTTGGTAAAGGTAACTTTTTTTAATACAAATTTTTAGAATATTGATTTTACCAGGAATAATTTTGGTCATTGAACTTTAAATTCATATTTTCAGCTACACACTTGCTGCTGTTTGTAGGCTACAGTGTCATGTTTTATAATTATAATGTACATTATTTGGTGTTTTACAAGCATCTTCATCACTTGAACTTTGTTTTATTTCAGCATGGTTTATGTCGGTGCAGACATTCATGACCATAGCTTTGCTTGCCAGCATGTCAACATTAGTGACAATAAGTCTGGTCCTGATTCGCTGGCCCATGCAGATGATCATGCGATATGAGTGGCATCTTACTGGGTTTTGTTTCTGCTGTCAGGCAATTACAGGTAAATTTGATGGTTAAAATGTTTTTTACAAATTATATATTTAGAAAATAATTTTGAGCCAATGGTTTCAAGTACTGTACTTGAAACAGCATTCTGGTGATTCCCAGACACTTGACTAACAGACTCGCCCACGATGGGCTTAAAGTCGACCAACTTGAAACTCTACAGAATTCACTGGGAGGTTCTGGAGGTCCTGAACTTGAGCCCAACCACAATTTTACAGTCTACCTGCCCACACACTAGCCTGCAGTACTGGTGTCAACACACTTACGCTCCACTCAGATCAGTGAAATCACAATGGTGTGAGACATCAATGAAAATCATTTTAAGGCAATGGAGTAATTTGAGCCAATGATCTGGTGATTCCCAGTTGTCTGATAATCTCTTGTTCCCACGGTTTGTGGGCTTACCAGATCATCATTTTCAGCCTTCAGAAGAGTTGATCCACCCATCCTGCTGTGTTGGGTCAGAATTCCCCCCCTCAGCTGCAGTCATTGCAATGCGGTTGGACTCTGGTGTAGTTGAGTTAAGCTCGTCTATTCAGTGCATGTCCCAGTTATTTCTGGTGGCCAAGCAGGACTCGGCTGATCTACGGTATATTCTCGATCTTTTGGGTCTGAACCGCTAACATTCCCAATCCGAATTTCCACATGACCACTTTGGCTCAGGTTAGTCTTGTGTTGCAGGTGGGTTCTTGGATGGTGTCCCTGGACATCAAGGGCACATACAGGTACTGACATCCCTATCCATCCAAGGTTCTAGGAATGGTTAAGGAACAATTGTGGGGCATTAGGTTTACAGCTTCAAGGTCCTGCCCTTCTGCTTGAATGTGGCTCCTTGGATCTTTACCAGGTTAGTGAAGGTACTGTAACCCCGCAATTATCCGGGATTCAAACATCCGGAAAACGCCCTTATACGGCCAAAATCGTGATCGGATAAAGTTATCACAATATCAGGCCAAAAATGGCCACAGGAACCGGATAAAAGCTGGTTTGGCCGGATGAAAATTCAGCAATACCATATTAATCCCATCTGTGGCTCTAGACGCATGGTGGAGGCGGGGGTGGGGTGGGTGGGTAGTGTTGGGAGGGGTGTGTCAGGAGGGACCACCTGGGTACAGGAATTACCATTAATTTTAGAACAATTAATCATAGCCAAAAACAAATGAAATAAGTACTTGTAATTATGTAATAACAAATAAATAAGTTTCCTAAAAGCAATGTGCACAGGCTGAAGTTTCCTTCAAAAATATTGTGAATTTTTTTCCTGGCGGCCTACGTAACGTACTATAGCTGCCCCACCCCAAGTGGACCCGTCCAACACTGGTCAACCCATGTGTGTCCGTCCCTCATGTTATACACAGTGCTGCGCCATTAGTGAAATATTTTTTAAATAACTTTTTTATTTTCATAGCAACTTTGAACATTTTTGGCCAAGACTATGTCTGGTAGCAGCATCAATCGTTCTGGAGGTGTTAAGAGGAAGAAAGTTGTCCTAACAATTAAAGACAAGTCACTGTTATACACCTCAACCAGTGCGGCCTCACAGTGCTGCGCCATTAGTGAAATATTTTTTGTAAATAACTTAATTTTCATAGTAACTTTGAACATTTTTGGCCAAGAATATGTCTGGTAGCAGCATCAATCGTTCCGGAGGTGTTAAGAAGAAGAAGGTTGTCCTAGCAATTAAAGACAAGTTACGTGTTGTTCAACCAGTGAGGCGTCACAGGCAGCCAAGCGCCTTCAACAAGTGAGGCGCCACAGGCAAGTCAAGCGCCTTCAACAAGTGAGGCGTCACAGGCAAGCCAAGCGCTTTCAACAAGTGAGGCATCACAGGCAAGCCAAGCGCCTTCAACAAGTGAGGCCTCACAGGCAACCCAAATGCCCTCAACCAGTGAGGCTTCAGCAGCTGGCAGTCAAAACTAACTTAGCTTAATGAACTGTACAGTAATTTTAAGTGTTAATTTTAGTGTTGTGTTAGTATAGGTTACGTAAATTGTTAAGAATTTTTAACTTCAAGATGTGTGGCATCAATCAAGAAGACAAACACCAACAAGGTAAGTTGAGGTTTCTAGTTGAATATTTAATAATTATATGTGGCAAGGCAATTCAAATTTTGTTTGTAGTATAAAAATAGTTGGAAATGGTTACTTTTGGACTCGTAGGTGAAAAAGTACCATTATCCGAAAAATGTGATAATCCGGCTGGGGGTCCTTCCCATATAGTCCGGATGATCGAGTGGAGACGGTAGTTGCAGTTGTGGTAGTTAGGGGGGAGTTGTGAAGACAGGCGACGCGGCAGTGGGTGTGACGTCATGCTTGTTTACTTGTTTTCAAATTGGGGAGTTCTGCTTAAGGGGGTGTCAGAGGATTATAGATGAAAGTTGTTCAATGTCAACCAATATTAATTTTCTAGTTGTATATGAAAAGTGCTTAAATTGTCCCAAGTTTCAGTACTGCAGCATAGAGAGTTTTTTTTTTTTTTTTTTCTCTCAACTTTAGAATTTCCAAAACATCTTTAGTTTTTTTTTTTACACATTTTCAAGTCCACACTTCAGAACACATGTTTCAGATATAATTATTCTGTGACACTTTTCTGACACATTAGCATATAATAAAGGATTTGAGGTTCTGGCTTGTGGTCCCCGGTAGGCTTATAACTCCATTCGAATTGACTGATGCCACAGTCTAATACATACAAAGCCCAGTATATCTCCAGGAAGCCTCCTGGACTCACCCAGAAAATAGCATTTCATTATATTCAATGCCGTTTTTTTTGTCTTGGTCATTTTAGTATCGACATCTCATATGTGATACTTTCACCTATTATTGTTCAGCTTTGGTGGAGCTATTGTTGCTTACATTTGACATCATTTTGTACGTTGTCTTGCGCTTTCTTTCACCTCAGGCTAGTTTCTCCTCCCAAGTCATCTTGGGCTCTAGACAAAAATTGTCGTTTCTTTCCTCACCAAGGTTTACAGTTTCCCCTTTGGTCAAGGATATTTTTCTTAAAGCTGTGTTTTTGTTGGGTGTAGTCTCTGGCTGCAGGGTTCGGAAGCTTCATGCTCTCCTTTGGAGGTGGGGTGGTTTGTTCATTTACGGTTCCTCTTCCTTCCTGGCGAGTCCCTGTTTTTCTCCTCTGTGGGAAGATAGCTTCAGGAAGTCACAAGGTGTTCTCTTACACCCCCCTCCCCCAAAAAAGCATTGAATATAATGAAATGCCAATTTCTGGGTGAGCCTTGGTCTTCTCCAGAACTGATGGCTCGAGCCAGTGGCCCCTGGACACTCCCCCTCCCTCCCTCCCTAAACGAGTGAGAGGGGTGGGAAAAACAAGCACATTCTTGCTTTGAAAGTGTTTCAATCATTTGTTTACATTGTTGGAGTTCATTTGGCAGGAAGTGAGGCATTGGTATCTTTTGAACCCAGCAGTGGTCTGCATTGGTTCGCTGACTTACTGGGCGCCTTCCCTGGTGAAGCAGTAGAGTATCACCTGCTTCCTGGGCTTCTGTGTGGGGGGCCAGGTTCTGGCTCAGGTCCCCAGTAGGTGAAACTAAACTCCACAGCTGATGTAATCTAGTAGTTAGGGGCCATCTTAATGAGACAGCTTCAGGGAACCACCAGGACTCACAGAAATTGGCATCTCATTACCTGTATATTCAATTATGTTTTTTTGAAATACTTGTACTTAGGATGCTTTTTGCAAAATCTGCCATAAGCATGCCTAGCCCTTAAGCTTCTAAGGGGGCCTGAGGACTTTTACACCCCCATGCGCAAGAAAGTCAGATTCTTTTTCTAAGAATCGTAGGCGACATTTTGGCCGCAATAAGCCGAGTAAGTCTGGCAAAATGTAAGCGTTGACAGAGCAAGCATCAGAGGTGGTCAGCTCCACCACAGCTGTCAGGCAGGAGTTGCCACAAAGATATTATTACCTAATTATTTCAATATGTCTGATTTTTCTTAGGTTTTGTTGCATTAATATTATTCAATAGTGTGTACTGTGATATATTTATATAATAAAAGTGGTGAATCATCGCTATACTCAAAATTATGGTGTGCATATTAGTGATTCAATTATGTTCATAAAACAATAAACAAACAGTTTTGCTGTTATTACACTATATACACTGGTTATATACAATTATCTGCATGTTTTGTTCACCATAACGAACCACTAAGTTGGTATGGTGAGTCAAAAAGCAATGAGGTGTGGACGCCACACCATCCAGCCAGCCACTTGCCGCCACTCCCTTCCTCAACACCTAGCCAACATTCTCCTCCCACTATACTGTTTTTGCTTTTATTCACTATATACAGACATTATATATAAGTATCTACATGTTTTATTTACTATAACTGTACAAGTAAGCTGGTGTGGTGCCCAAAGAGTATAGTGGCCACCCTCTACACAGCATGAAAAGTCGTGCAGACGACGCCACCTCCGTCACCCAAATGGTTCCTTCCAACACATTCTTTTTGCTGTTATTACACTAATACACACGTTATATACAGGTATCTACATTTGCGTTCACCATAGCGAACTACTAAGCTGGTATGGTGAGTGCAGACAACAGGTGGCCACACATTCAGCAGACGACGCTACCTGCCTCCCTCACTCAGCATTACGCCTCCCACACAGCACTAATTATCACAACAATACTGCTATTATCACAATCCTGGTCATTTTTATTACAGTCAGGGGTCTTTTCTAATGCTGTCAATGCTAAATAATAGCAGTTTCACATTTATTGTGATTTTTTAAGCGATGCTGTGGTCACAAGATGAACAACAGTGCTGTTAGCTCATGCTGCGTGCACCTGCCTTGGTTGCTCTCACAGTACTGTGGCTCTCACACTGGAGAATGTTGCCCATGATTTTTTGTAAACATGGCATCTGTTTACAAGAGCCCTGAAGAAGCTGATGGGAACCAACCCTGTTTAGCCGAGGGCCATTTGAATCGTGGCTGGCACCCCTATGTCATATATATTTGGCATGCGCACGGTGGGACATGTTACTCCGGTCGTGTATATATATATATATATATATATATATATATATATATATATATATATATATATATATATATATATATATATATATATATATATATATATGTATGCCATGCACAGCTTAAGGGCTAGTGACCACATGTTTTCCATAGCAAAATGGTTCTGGCTAATTTTTTTTCGATATTGTCTCATTAAGCTTTGGAAATTTTTTTCCAGGATGTGAAAAATCAACTAATGTAAACAAGTATTATTATATTATTATTACTGTATATTGTATCATTATTATTATGTCATTATAATAATGCATTGTGTTGGGGTACAGGAAGCCAGAGTGTATTCATACACGTTTGGCTTATATCGAGGCACCCCCTACCCCAAGGCCAAATTACTGACCTCGCCCAGGATGCAACCCCACAAGCTGACTAACTCCTGAGTACCTACTCACTGCTAGGTGAACAGAGGCATTAGGTGAAAGGAAATGTGTCCAACCATTTCTGTCCTGCCCAGGATTATTGTTATATTATTATATCATTATTATTATTATTTATTATATTATCATTATGTTATTATTGAGAAAATCAGTAAGAGCTATGAGGATGATTTGAACCCACACACTTGGTACTCCCAAGCACATGCCCTAAACCACTTCACCACAACATGGTCAAACGTAATGCAACCTAGGGCTCGACTGAAGTCTTTAGGGTTCCTGAGGCTTGCACAGAAACCCAGTATTTCATGCACTGTCCCTTTACACTCTGGCTGTGGTCCAGGAGTTCTACCTCCAACGCTTCTCTTCGGATGTGCAATGAAATCACATTAACGTGATTATGCAACCTGTCTTCTTAAAAATAATGTTGCTTTTGGCTGTTTGCCCGTATGGCCAAAAGTGGATGTAATTTGAAAATGAAAATAAATTTGAGATTTTTTTTTTCAACTACAGCTAATTAAGGGTCCTCTGATAGGTTAGGTGGGCAGGAAATTCTCAGTTTCAAAACGTTAATTGAAAATTTCCTCTCCTAACCTTTCCGAGTAAGTCGGATGACTCAAACAGAAAACGGGACAGTACGTCACTTTCGTGAGCCGATTTCATTTCAAATTACGTCCACTTTTGGCCATAGCGCACATACGAGCCGAAAGCGACATCATTTTTAAGAGGACGAGTTGGATTATGACCATCTTGTGTTCTAGGGTGTTTGTGGTTGGGAGTGCCAAGTGTGTGGATTTGAAAACTCCACATGGCTCTTACTGATTATCTCACCGATACATCACGTTAATGTGATTTCATTGTGCATTATTATTATTATTATTAGTAATGGTAATGTATTCTCAGACATAATATATGATAAAAACTCAAACGTGTTTATATGTGAAATTTATTTAAAGAATTTACATCAAGTCTTTCACACTCTCCTGACTGTTTTATCAAGGTCTGAGTGTGTGATTAGGAAGAGACTTGCATCTCGATGTCTAATCAAAGACATTAGGATGATTACGTCTCAATCACATACTCAGACCTTGATAAAGCACTTAAAATGTGATAGACTTTATGTAAATTCTTTACATAAATTTCACATACTGTGTAAACAAGTTTGAGTTGTTATCATTATTATTATTATTATTATTATTATTAATGATTATATTATTATTATTTTGTAAGACAGTCATTGTGTACTGTAATACTGTAAAAATCAAACGACTTTATAGGTTGATCAGATAATTTAATTTAAAGGTTATAACTATTAAGGATTTTAATGTTGAATGGCGCTCTTAAACTCTTATTCTCTACAGTGATTGGCATATTCTTTGCGGTTCTGGTATTTGGAGTCATGTGTTGGTCTCGTGACTGGCTGCTCAACCCCAACTTTAACTACCTGTCTTGGTCGTATGCCTTTGCCGTTCTTGCAGGTGGCATTCATGCCTTTGCTGGATTCACACTACTACATGTAAGTTATGAGTACTCTATAACTTTTTCTATTAATAAAAGAATTTCTTGTATAGCATAATTAAAAATGCATATTTGTTATAATTTAATAATGTAAAGTAGTTTTAACTTTAAAAAAAAATCAACATTTAGAACAGAAAATGGTCAATGTGAGAAGCATGTGATGTTACAAAAATCAAGGAGCAAAATGTTATGTAAATATGTCGAGTGCAAATTTCAGTAGAGTAAATAGAAAATTAAATTGTGTATCAAGTGCATTTGGGTATGAGGAATGAATGACTTTACTGCCAAAGAGGAGGCATTCAAGTGCATTTGAAGGTAGGAGAGGAATATAATCTGGAAGAAGGAGGACTATTTCATAGTTGTGGCTATGGGGAGTATGATCTAGCTCTAAAAGCCTGTCTTCTTATTATTGTACCTAGCACAATTATACTTCCTTATGTTCTTTTACTGTGAGGCAAGTACTGAGTGAGAAAAATGTATGAGATACAAGGCTAGGTTATCTTGAGATGATTTCTGGGCTTAGTGTCCACACGGCCCAGTCCTCGACCAGGCCTCCTTTTTGTTACACATCCCCAGGAAGCAGCCCGTAGCAGCTGTCTAACTCCCAGGTACCTATTTACTGCTAGTTGGAACAGGCACATCAGGGTGAAAGGAACTCTGCCCATTTGTTTCTGCCTCCACCGGGTATTGAGCCCGGAACCTCTGGCCTACAAATCCAGAGCGCTATCCACTCTGCTATCAGGCCCCTATATCAGTTAATGAGTGAATATATTTGTTTTATATGGAACAATTCTCAAGGAGCACTGTACACGTGGTATTACACATTGGGTTGCTGGAGTGTGGCTGTTCGTGTTAGTGATCCTCTGTAGTGTAGATGATATAACAAATGAAAGTTTTTAATTATTCAATTCTTTTCAACTACTGTATATTACTATTTTTTCTTTTCTTTGGACTGGTGGCTTTCTTCCCCATGAAAGTGATTACACCATTATCATTATTGCCCAGGTTTTGTTAGAAGTACATAAAGGGGAAAAATACTTTTAGTTTAAATCCTTTGATAGAAAATCATTGCTCAATATTTTTTTTTTTCTGGGAAAGCCCTCCCATGCAGCTCTGTGAAGCCGAGATTGCTCCTAACTACTAGGTTACATCAGTCATGTGAATTGTGTTTGGCTTACCAGTGACCAGAACCTGGTCCACCCTCTCAGACCCGCTGAGTGAGTGACGTTCCATCATCCCGCCAAGAAAGTATCCAGAAAGTCAGCGAAACATTAACAGCATGTTTCACAGAACATGAAGTCTTGAAACTGCCTAACAACTCACCATACTATTCAAAACAACTAAAAATATTCTAAACTATCTCAAACTTGTTAGTACTAAAACCACCCAGGGATCCTGGAGACCACCATTCCCCCCCCCCCCCCCTTCCCGCCATGCTAATCCTTCCAGGTCAGTTCTGTCGCTGATGCGGTGCCCTCAACACCACTGCAGAGCTCCTGGGTCGCCACCAGTAGCAGCAGGTCCCCCATGCATCTAGCCAAGTGCCAGCCATCCTTTCTGCCTCCATCCCGCCAAACACACGACGAAACTATGACGTTACTACAATGTTTGAACAAGGTTTAACACGTTCTAACAACTGCAACAATCATTATAGCAAGTTGTAACAATGTTCTAATACATTAAAAAAAACATTATTAACAAGATGTAACAGCTTTATTGCAAGTTGTAACAAGGGAATCATAGGGACCGTTACGTTGTGTGTTTGCAGGGCTGCTGCCTGTTGGTTCAGTGACACCTAAAATCCCAAAGTCCTGTGGTGTTTGTGCTCCCATTTTCTATTTTATCTGCACCTACTTCTGAGGTAGGAGCTCATCAGGCAGCTGCCATTTTGTGAGTTAGATTTGCCTGTGTTGAGTGCTCACTGCTTTGTGGTCATTTGAATGCCCCAGAGTAGGCCCATATTGTGTTTAGGGACCCAGAATTAGAGGTGTTGGTGAATTTACCATGGTGCCATCCGTGCCTCCTCTTCATTTCCCAGCAGGCTATGGCTTGCCCTGCTTCTGTTCTTCCCGCTTACGCCAACTTCAAAACGTCTGAGGGTTTCAGAGTTTGGGGTGGGGTGTAGCTCAGCCTTTCCTGGGGAATGGCCCCCTTCCTTTTTGAGAGCAGAGGCAGTTAAGCCACCTGGTCCCACCAGGGAGTCTGTTTTTGCCTTCCCAATTGTCTATTTTCTGTTTCTTCTCCTTAAGAATATGCCTTTCTTTCTCCAGGCATTAGGTGATGACAGTGGCTTGGCCCCCGGGGCTTTCTTGGCAGTTTTCCAGGCATGTGGGAAAGCCCAATGGGGTCCTTAGGTGCATTTTGACTACCTTAACTTTAACTCTTACACTGCACAAGTCTAACAGGGATGATAGTACCCGCTCCTGCGGGTACATGGGGCTCACATCAGCTTTCACAAAATCCAGTAAATGGGTGCCAGTTTGACAAAAAAGTCGTGGAAACCATTCCTGGGTGTGGAGGGGTGCTCAGTAATAAGTGAGCAATCAAGGGCAGAGCATGCAGCATGAGCTAACAGCACCGCTGTTCAGCTTGTGTCCACAACATCACTTAAATATTATGAAATATACAAGTAACTATTATTTTATGATCGTATCATAGAAGAGCCTGACTGTGATAAAGAATATATGTACATCGTTCAGATACTACCTGGTTGATGGGGTTCTGGGAGTTCTTCTACTCCCCAAGCCCGGCCCAAGGCCAGGCTTGACTTGTGAGAGTTTGGTCCACTAGGCTGTTGCTTGGAGCGGCCCGCAGGCCCACATACCCACCACAGCCCGGTTGGTCTGGCACTCCTTGGAGGAATAAATCTAGTTTCCTCTTGAAAATGTCCACGGTTGTTCCGGCAATATTTCTTATGCTTGCTGGGAGGACGTTGAACAACCGCGGACCTCTGATGTTTATAGTGTTCTCTGATTGTGCCTATGGCACCTCTGCTCTTCACTGGCTCTATTCTACATTTTCTTCCATATCGTTCACTCCAGTACGTTGTTATTTTACTGTGTAGATTTGGTACTTGGCCCTCCAGTATCTTCCAGGTGTATATTATTTGATATCTCTCTCGTCTTCTTTCTAGTGAGTACATTTGGAGGGCTTTGAGACGATCCCAATAATTTAGGTGCTTTATTGCATCTATGCGTGCCGTATATGTTCTCTGTATTCGCTCTATTTCAGCAATCTCTCCTGCTCTGAAGGGGGAAGTGAGTACTGAGCAGTACTCAAGACGGGACAACACAAGTGACTTGAAGAGTACAACCATTGTGATGGGATCCCTGGATTTGAAAGTTCTCGTAATCCATCCTATCATTTTTCTGGCTGTCGCAATATTTGCTTGGTTATGCTCCTTAAACGTTAGGTCGTCAGACATTATTATTCCCAAATCCTTTACATGCTGTTTTCCTACTATGGGTACATTTGATTGTGTTTTGTACTCTGTATTCTGTTTAAGGTCCTCATTTTTACCGTACCTGAGTACCTGGAATTTATCACTGTTAAACATCATGTTATTTTCTGATGCCCAGTCGAAAACTTTATTAATATCAGCTTGAAGTTTTTCAATGTCTTCAGCCGAGGTAATTTTCATACTGATTTTTGTGTCATCTGCAAAGGATGATACGAAACTGACTTGTATTTTTGTCTATATCTGATATGAGAATAAGGAAAAGCAGCGGTGCAAGGACTGTACCCTGAGGTACAGAGCTTTTAACTGCACTTGGACTAGATTTTATATGGTTGACCGTTACTCGCTGAGTCCTGTTTGACAGAAAACTGAGTATCCAGCGTCCTACTTTACCGGTTATTCCCATTGACTTCATTTTGTGTGCTATCACGCCATGGTCACATTTATCGAAAGCCTTTAGTGAACCTATCGAAAGCCTATCGAAAGCCATTAGTGAACACAATGCTATTTATAATGTTCGCAAGGTGATGCAGATGGCCTTAGCACACTTCTTTAGTTTTGGGTCATAAAAGTGTCTTGAAATGATAGCTCCTATTCCTTGAGATAATTAACTTGCGGAAAATTATTCAGTTTCAGGATTTAGTGACCAGGATTCTCATAATAAAAGCAATGTGCATAGAGCGTTAGGAGGAGGAATTTTGTCTTTGTTCAAAGACAAAGACATGTATTACTGTTCAAAGAATATAATATTTAACTCATTAGTTACATGAATATATATATATATTCTTGTACAGTACTAATATTCTACAAGTTTTATGATACAAATAATATTATTGAAAGCCCAATACAACATTGCACTTTAAAATACCATGGTAAAAATACGAAGAAAATATACTGAATATCAATGCGTGCTGTTAGAGTTTTGTACAAAAATAATGCGGGACTCGTTGAACTCTGATAACCAGTTATAAGATTATTACACTTGCCAGAAATATTGAGAGGTTTGTAATGGTGCATGAAAATGTAGATAATTATATACAGTATGTAAATAATGTATATGCAGTGTAATAACAGCAAAAACACTGTTTATGGGTCAATCCTGTTTCCTTCATGCCTTAATCCAAGGCTCTCATTTCCCAGGTTGTCTGCAGTGTTATAAAATCCAGCGGCCCATGATTGCAAATATGCTGCTCTAGCTGCTGTTTTCTCCACAATGTCTGGGCCCAATATTTAGGCTCAGCAGTTTTGTCAATCTATCAGTTCATGGCAGCCCTGTATTTAGTCAATGTCCTGGTCTATCATCATTCTTGTGTTGCACTGTGCCATATTTCCCAGTCATCTCCATTGTTTTAGTACCTGGGGAGCCGGTCGGCCGAGCGGACAGCACACTGGACTTGTAATCCTGTGATCCTGGGTTCGATCCCAGGCGCCGGCGAGAAACATTGGGCAGAGTTTCTTTCACCCTATGCCCCTGTTACCTAGCAGTAAAATAGGTACCTGGGTGTTAGTCAGCTGTCACGGGCTGCTTCCTGGGGGTGGAGGCCTGGTCGAGGACCGGGCCGCGGGGACACTAAAGCCCCGAAATCATCTCGAGATAACCTGCTGTCTTTCCTCCTCTGTTAAGTTTTTTTCTGTGTTTAACTGCAGGGAGCCACCAGGTGGGGGTAGGGGGGTTGCTCCCCCAGAAAACCAGAATTTAATACTGTATAATGAATTGCATTTTCTGGCAGAGCCCTGGTGGCTGCCTGACCCCCATCTTCCCTACCAGTTGCAGTTTGTTTTGTTCATCTGCAACAGAATTGGGTTGGGATGGGGGGAAGGGGGAATGGTTGTGATTCCAGGCTGCCTTTTGGGTAGTGGTTATCGGTACTAACGGGTTTGAGATAATGCTTGAAACATTCAAGACTATTTTGAATGTTTGGAGGATTATTTGGCAGTCTTGAGGCTTAATTTTCTGCGAAGCATGCAGCTGTCTGTAATGTGTTACTGACTTTGTGGATGTTTTTCCAGTTAGGTAGTGGTATGTCGCTCACTAGTGCTTCTGTGAGGGAAACCAGGTCCTGGCTTGGGCCCCTTGTACAGTATTCCAAACAGAATTCCCACGAATGATGTGACCTAGTAGCTAGGAGCAATTTCCGCTTCAGGGAGTCATCGGGGCTCTACCAGAAAGAGGCATTTCATTATATCTAACACTGCCTTTCTTAGGAAACCTTCGAGGCCAAGGAGCGCAAACGCCAGGCAAGTAACCTCCTCCACATGGACCCGCATGGACATATGGGCATGGGAATGGGTATGGTTAGTCACGGATACATTTAAAGTCGTAATACAGAAAATATTCTGTGTTAATTCTCTGGCTGGATGAATTACAAAATGTGCATTACAGCATGTACTTAATTATTCAACACAGGTTAAAGTATTCCATGAAGTAAATTACCAGTTTTTTTAAAAGCAAAATATATGCCAAAAAGACAGTATTAATGGTACAGGTATCTTCCTCTGGTTATTTTCAATGAATCAGGCTACAGACATGACATGTTGGAATAATCCCTGTGTGTTTTGAAGATTTCTGAGTGCAAATTAAGTTGGAATGATATGTAAGAAAGATTTACATTAATTTTTGTTTTAAATTTTCTTACACATATATAGGATGTAAATGAGGTCTAAAGGAAATTTTAAAAAGTTTAGCCAATTTTCAAAGCTGCCAAACTTGTCAATATAATAATGCTAATTTAGTTTTTCTTAAATTATGTTCGAGTTCCAAGAAAATATTTAAATTGAGATACTGTAGCTGTAAATGTCAGTTTTGCATTTATAAAGTTGGTCTTGTGAGCTGAATCACTGTCAGTAGTTTCAGTTAATGTACATTGCAGTTCATTAGTTTAATTAACACACTGATGAATTTAGTACTCGGTGAAAAAATTTGTCAACAGTATACGGTCAAGATAGCAGATCTGATTAAATATGCTCTTTTTAATTTTGGTTTGTATACATTTTCTTATGTAAAGTATGAATGTGTGCTGTATACAAGTTTAAATATACATTTTTTTAACAAAGTACTGTATATGCACTCTTTATAATGTGGCATTACAAATTATTATTTTGTAATTGCATACATTTGAATTGCGTTAATGGTCTAAAGTAAGCAAGCACTGTATATCTAAATAAGTATCACAGAATGCACAAGCAGAGTAGCAGCATGTATGTTAAATTGAACAATTTGTACAAGACTACAAAGTATGTTAGTTTCAGGTATAGCATTGTACCTGAAAACCTAAGTACCTAAGTAGTACTACCTAAAATACTACTAAAGTAGTATTTTCCTTGACCTCTTATTTGTTTTATATAGACTTTGTACCTTGTGTATACTTGTATTAGTCATAAATACTTTCTGTACTTCTCTTATTTTTTGATGTGCTAACAAATGCTTCACTGCTTCACTTAGGAGCCAACCATGTAACAGCAGTTTGTGTATATCCAGCATCTAACAAATGTTACCTTCAAAGTGCATCTATTATACAGAAGGCAAGTAACTTTGCTAGAGAAATTCAATTGAATTTAAATTTTGAAACCAGGCTGTATTTATGGGGGCAGGGGGGATGTGTTAGAATGGTCCCCGTTTCTACCGTTACATTTATACTCTTGACAACTAGATTTGAACATGTTATCTACAACCTTTCCCTAAAATCTTTGATATGACCATATATTAAAGTAAATATTTTTAATGTTTTTGTAAATACTGTATAATGCTTGCCTAATACTTGAAAATTACAATGGTGCAAATTTAGAGCATGAATTTGTTATATTTCTTACTATTCTACTTGAGGTCATGCCATCTCCAGACCTTCTCTTTCATGGCTTCATCAGCGAGCCTTGATGATTGCAGTTCATATCAAGATGCAAGCATGAAAACCTGGTTGATGAGGAACTCAACTTTTAAGTAATGTTTCAAGTTTCCATTTGAAAAAGTGTGCCTTCTGGTAAATCGTCTTGTATTTAAAGGGACTATTTTTAAAGCCTTGACCCCCTTAAGTACTGTATATGTATATATAGTTACATTTTAATGTCTTAATTGTACTACAATAATGGTACTATTTTTGTATATTGTACTGTGCCTCCAGCTCTCATAAGTAATTATGATAGCAGATTTAGAACCACTCCCTCCAGTATTTTTCAGGTTTAGATTACAATGTACTGTAGTATCCCATTTCACATCTGCAGTTCAGGCAGTACAATTTGAGGGATTTTAAGCATTCCAGTAGTTTAGGCATTTGACAAGTAATGTAAACAGTGAGAGTTCCTTGCACATTCTCCAGGTCAGCAATTTTGCCAGTCTAAAATGGTGTTCTATTGTATGGTTTATTATAGTTTGAGTGTTCCATATACATTAAAAAATATTGCCCTTTACATCTTTTATGCAAAATGATGCAATTCTTGTAAAAGCAAGCACTGAAATATCATAAACAAGAGCGAGTGACTTAGGGCCTATATTTTCAATATAGAGAAGCAGTAAGTACTGTACTCTATAATATTCAACTGTGTTGTATAATGTTCCATATTGAATTAGTTCTTAAGCACGGAATGAGAAAACTCGTACTGTTTTTCTCCGAGAGTCATGGTATGCAATAAGATCTTTTGAAGTTAACAGTATGCCTGTATTTACACACAAATGGTTATATGATCAAGTATGATTAGTTAATGTTACTAAAAAAAATAGGCTGCTAAAAATATTTGGCAGCATTTTTATTCCGTCCAGACTCTTGTGAATTAAATTCATACTGATTTTTTAAATTTAATAAATATAAATACAATAATTTTTTTTTAACCATTGCATACCTAATGTAATTTTACTGTACCTAGTTAAAAATGGCATAGAGATGTGGTAATATGCAGGCGATGAGTCACAATAACGTGGCTAAAGTAAGTTGACCAGACCACACACTAGAAGGTGAAGGGACGACGACGTTTCGGTCTGTCCTGGACCATTCTCAAGTCGATTGTGATGAAGTAGATGCAGGCAATAAATAGGCTAGAGAGAGGCGAGGAGCAAAGTGTAGTAGAGGAGATAGTAATAGGAACTGCAGAGGGCCTATTGGCCCATACGAGGCAGCTTCTATTATAACCACCGAATGAGAAGGAGATAGTAATAGGAATAAGAAGAGGATAGTAAGGGAACTTAAAGAAAACAAAACAGAAAAGAAAAGATGAGAGAAAGAAAGATAAATGAAAGGGTAAGCTATGTTAGGTCACGTTTGTTAGAAAGATTAGAGCATTTAAGTATATACTGTGAAAGGGAAGAGTCCACAGCAACAAAGCCAGGACGCAAGTTCATGTTGGGTACATTGTGTATTAGAGCTCTAATACACAATGTACCCAACATGAACTTGAGTCCTGGCTTTGTTGCTGTGGACTCTTCCCTTTCACAGTATATACTTAAATGCTCTAATCTTTCTAACAAACGTGACCTAACATAGCTTACCCTTTCATTTATCTTTCTTTCTCTTTCCTTTTCTTTCTCTCTTTTCTGTTCTTTGTTTTCTTTATGTTCCCTTACTATCCTCTTCTTATTCCTATTACTATCTCCTCCTCATTCGGTGGTTATAATAGAAGCTGCCTCGTATGGGCCAATAGACCCTCTGCAGCTCCGATTGATTGATTGATGAAGATTAAGCCACCCAAGAGGTGGCACGGGCATGAATAGCCCGTAAGTGGTGGCCCTTTTGAGCCATTACCAGTATCAATAGCTGATACTGGAGATCTGTGGAGGTGCGGCTGCACCCTGCATGACGGGAGATGTCTCCCCAAATTACTGCAGCTCCTATTACTGTCTCCTCTACTACACTTTGCTCCTCACCTCTCTCTAGCCTATTTATTGCCTGCATCTACTTCCTCATCACAATCGACTTGAGAATGGTCCAGGACGGACCGAAACGTCGTCGTCCCTTCACCTTCTAGTATGTGGTAATACCTGCTTGATGGGGTTCGGGGAGTACTTCTACTCTCAAACCCTGGCCTGAGGCCAGGGTGGCCTGATGATGCAAATACAATAGCTCTGTATTCCCTATATGTGATGTGCTGTATTGTCAATTTCTAAGCTAGGACACACCATCACTGTCTCCCCCTCCCCCACCCACCAATTTCTGTGGGGGGAAAACGGTGATTGTGTGTGTGTGTGTGTGTGTAGGGAAGGGGAAGACAGGGAGGGTGTGTGTTAACATAAGAACATAAGAACAAAGGCAACTGCAGAAGGCCTATTGGCCCATACGAGGCAGCTCCTATTTATAACCACCCAATCCCACTCATATACTTGTCCAACCCGCGCTTGAAACAATCGAGGGACCCCACCTCCAGCACGTTACGCGGTAATTGGTTCCACAAATCAACAACCCTGTTACTGAACCAGTATTTACCCAAGTCTTTCCTAAATCTAAACTTATCCAATTTATACCCATTGTTTCGAGTTCTGTCTTGTGTTGATACTTTTAATACCCGAGGGGGCCTCGTAGCCTGGTGGATAGCGCGCAGGACTCGTAATTCTGTGGCGCGGGTTCGATTCCCGCACGAGGCAGAAACAAATGGGCAAAGTTTCTTTCACCCTGAATGCCCCTGTTACCTAGCAGTAAATAGGTACCTGGGAGTTAGTCAGCTGTCACGGGCTGCTTCTTGGGGGTGGAGGCCTGGTCGAGGACCGGGCCGCGGGGACACTAAAGCCCCGAAATCATCTCAAGATCTCAAGATAACCCTATTAATATCCCCTTTGTTATGTCCATTCACCCACTTGTAAACCTCTATCATGTCACCCCTAACTCTTCGCCTTTCCAATGAATGCAACTTAAGCTTTGTTAATCTTTCTTCATATGAAAGATTTCTAATTTGGGGAATTAACTTAGTCATCCTACGCTGGACACGTTCAAGTGAATTTATATCCATTCTATAATATGGCGACCAAAACTGAACTGCATAATCTAAATGGGGCCTAACTAGAGCAAGATATAGCTTGAGAACCACACCAGGTGTCTTGTTGCTAACGCTTCGATTAATAAATCCAAGTGTCCGATTTGCCTTATTACGAACATTTATGTATTGATCCTTTTGTTTTAAATTCTTACTAATCATAACTCCCAGATCCCTTTCGCAATCTCAACACCATCTAGCTCGTATCTTGTAACTCTATCATCATTACCTAACCTCAGAACTTTACATTTATCAGCATTAAACTGCATCTGCCAATCCTTTGACCATTTCAAAACCCTATCTAGATCAACTTGGTGATAGTGAGTCCTCCTCCGAATTAATTTCCCTACCGATTTTCGTATCATCGGCAAATTTGCAAATGTTGCTACTCAAACCTGAATCTAAATCATTTATATATATTATAAACAACAGAGGTCCCAGGACAGAGCCTTGAGGCACTCCACTTACAACATTTTCCCACTCTGACTTGATTCCATTTATACTAACTCTGTTTCCTTTGGTATAGCCATGCCCTAATCCAGCTTAATATAGCACCCCCAATACCATGAGACTATCTTTTTAATCAGTCTTTCATGTGGGCACTGTATCAAAAGCTTTGCTCGAACCCGCGGCACAGAATTACGAATCCTGCGCGCTAAAGTCAAGGTACACAGCATCACAATCCTTACCACTATCAACTGCCTCAACTATGCTAGAATAAAAAGATAACAAATTTGTTAAACATGAATGGCCATTTATAAAACCATGTTGCGACTCAATTATTAATTTATGTTTTTCAAGATGAAGACGAATTTTATTTGCTATTATAGATTCGAGTAACTTTCCCAAAGGGAGTGTTGGAGATAGGGAGCACGTGTGCGCACGGAGACACGTAAGAGTGTGAGAAGCTGGGCACAGAATCGACCAGGTATCGCTGGGTACCTCATATACAATAGTATGGAATAAAAAAAAATACAATTCCTTTCCAAGTCATTTTCCTAGTTTCCCTGTGGCATATTTTGATTTTTTTTTCTATTCCTGCAACCCACCCCAATTCCAGATCTTGTTTTGGTAGTGACTTTAAAGTCCTTTTAAACATCTGACTCATTTGGTGTCCCATATTTCCACATATATTTCCCATTGCCATTTCTTGCTTTGAACAATTAGGAGGAGCTTTGGTGTTCAAAATATGCTGTATAGTTTCCTAGTAGGAGTAATTTTACCTAAACTTTCCAAGTGGTTTGAACGTCCAGACACGAGTGAGCCAGGCCATTTGACACCTTGCATTCATGTGTTAGCAAATAGCAATTGTTTTATCGCATTCAATGCGACACCCTATTTTAACCTGTGATGGTTTATAAGACTAATTATAATTAATTTTGTTGGGGACAGGCAGCCTATATTATATATATATATATATATATATATATATATATATATATATATATATATATATATATATATATATATATATATATATATATATATATATATATATATATATATATATATATATATATATATATATATATATATATATATATATATATATATATATATATATATATATATATATATATATATATATATATATATATATATATATATATGTCGTACCTAGTAGCCAGAACGCACTTCTCTGCCAACTATGCAAGGCCCGATTTGCCTAATAAGCCAAGTTTTCATGAATTAATTATTTTTCGACTACCTAACCTAACCTAACTTTTTCGGTTACCTAACCTAACCTAACCTATAAAGATAGGTTAGGTTAGGTTAGGTAGGGTTGATTAGGTTCAGTCATATATCTACGTTAATTTTAACTCCAATAAAAAAAAATTGACCTCATACATAATGAAATGGGTAGCTTTATCATTTCATAAGAAAAAAATTCGAGAAAATATATTAATTCAGGAAAACTTGGCTTAATAGGCAAATCGGGCCTTGCATAGTAGGCTGAAAAGTGCGTTCTGGCTACTAGGTACGATATATATATATATATATATATATTAGTATATTTTGGTAGCAGTCTTTCCTGTAGACATATATTATTAAATATGACCGAAAAAGTAAAATTAATAATTCTAACACGAATTTTCTCAATCTTTCGTACATTACGCTTCACTGTTGGAGGTAAATAAAAAATCAATTCTCCAAAATTCATTTTTATTTCTAGTCTGACGCGACACGAGCGCGTTTCGTAAAACTTATTACATTTTCAAAGACTTTAGTTCACAAATACACAACTGAATAGAACTTACGCATCTCCGATTTTATATCTACATTTGAGTGAGGTGGAAGGGGTGATGTGGCATTAACACAAGACAGAACAAAATGTGGTATTAATAGGGTATTAATTTCATCAACACAAGACAGAACAAGAGTATTAATAGGGTATTAATTTCATCAACACAAGACAGAACACGAAACAATGGATATTGAATAGAAGTGTTTGTAGAAAGCCTATTGGTCCATATTTCTTGATGCTTCTATATTGGAGCGGAGTCTTGAGGTGGGTAGAATATAGTTGTGCAATAATTGGCTGTTGATTGCTGGTGTTGACTTCTTGATGTGTAGTGCCTCGCAAACGTCAAGCCGCCTGCTATCGCAGTATCTATCGATGATTTCTGTGTTGTTTACTAGGATTTCTCTGGCGATGGTTTGGTTGTGGGAAGAGATTATATGATCCTTAATGGAGCCCTGTTGCTTATGCATCGTTAAACGCCTAGAAAGAGATGTTGTTGTCTTGCCTATATACTGGGTTTTTTGGAGCTTACAGTCCCCAAGTGGGCATTTGAAGGCATAGACGACGTTAGTCTCTCTTAAAGCGTTCTGTTTTGTGTCTGGAGAGTTTCTCATGAGTAGGCTGGCCGTTTTTCTGGTTTTATAGTAAATCGTCAGTTGTATCCTCTGATTTTTGTCTGTAGGGATAACGTTTCTATTAACAATATCTTTCAGGACCCTTTCCTCCGTTTTATGAGCTGTGGAAAAGAAGTTCCTGTAAAATAGTCTAATAGGGGGTATAGGTGTTGTGTTAGTTGTCTCTTCAGAGGTTGCATGGCTTTTCACTTTCCTTCTTATGATGTCTTCGACGAAACCATTGGAGAAGCCGTTATTGACTAGGACCTGCCTTACCCTACAGAGTTCTTCTCTGTAGGGTAAGGCAGGTCCTGAAGAACTCTGTAGGGTAAGGCAGGTCCTAGTCAATAACGGCTTCTCCAATGGTTTCGTCGAAGACATCATAAGAAGGAAAGTGAAAAGCCATGCAACCTCTGAAGAGACAACTAACACAACACCTATACCCCCTATTAGACTATTTTACAGGAACTTCTTTTCCACAGCTCATAAAACGGAGGAAAGGGTCCTGAAAGATATTGTTAATAGAAACGTTATCCCTACAGACAAAAATCAGAGGATACAACTGACGATTTACTATAAAACCAGAAAAACGGCCAGCCTACTCATGAGAAACTCTCCAGACACAAAACAGAACGCTTTAAAAGAGACTAACGTCGTCTATGCCTTCAAATGCCCACTTGGGGACTGTAAGCTCCAAAAAACCCAGTATATAGGCAAGACAACAACATCTCTTTCTAGGCGTTTAACGATGCATAAGCAACAGGGCTCCATTAAGGAACATATAATCTCTTCCCACAACCAAACTATCGCCAGAGAAATCCTAGTAAACAACACAGAAATCATCGATAGATACTGCGATAGCAGGCGGCTTGACGTTTGCGAGGCACTACACATCAAGAAGTCAACACCAGCAATCAACAGCCAATTATTGCACAACTATATTCTACCCACCTCAAGACTCCGCTCCAATATAGAAGCATCAAGAAATATGGACCAATAGGCTTTCTACAAACACTTCTATTCAATATCCATTGTTTCGTGTTCTGTCTTGTGTTGATGAAATTAATACCCTATTAATACTATTGTTCTGTCTTGTGTTGATGAAATTAATACCCTATTAATACCACATTTTGTTCTGTCTTGTGTTAATGCCACATCACCCCTTCCACCTCACTCAAATGTAGATATAAAATCGGAGATGCGTAAGTTCTATTCAGTTGTGTATTTGTGAACTAAAGTCTTTGAAAATGTAATAAGTTTTACGAAACGCGCTCGTGTCGCGTCAGACTAGAAATAAAAATGAATTTTAGAGAATTGATTTTTGATTTACCTCCAACAGTGAAGCGTAATGTACGAAAGATTGAGAAAATTCGTGTTAGAATTATTAATCTTACTTTTTCGGTCATATATATATATATATATATATATATATATATATATATATATATATATATATATATATATATATATATATATATATATATATATATATATATATATGTCGTACCTAATAGCCAGAACGCACTTCTCTGCCTACTATGCAAGGCCCGATTTGCCTAATAAGCCAAGTTTTCATGAATTAATTGTTTTTCGACTACCTAACCTACCTAACCAAACCTAACCTAACTTTTTCGGCTACCTATGACCTCAACCTAAAAAGATAGGTTAGGTTAGGTTAGGTAGGGTTGGTTAGGTTTGGTCATATATCTACGTTAATTTTAACTCCAATAAAAAAATAATTTACCTCATAGGTAATGAAATGGGTAGCTTTATCATCTCATGAAAGGTAAAAAAATAAGAGAAAATATAATAATTCAGGAAAACTTGGCTTATTAGGCAAATCGGGCCTTGCATAGTAGGCCGAGAAGTGCGTTCTGGCTACTAGGTACGACATATATATATATATATATATATATATATATATATATATATATATGTGTGTGTGTGTGTGTGTGTATGTTAGGCTTATATCGAGGTTCCATATTCCCCTTCCCTCCAAGGTCGAGCTACTAACCCTTCCCAGAATGCAACCCCACAACAGTTGTCTAACTTCCGGGTACCTATTTACTGCCAGGTGAATCGGCGCATTAGGTGATAGGAAACGTGCCCAACTATTTCTGTCCTGCCCCATGATATAAGCCCTATTGTGCTTATTAAGGTTTAAGTGTGCTTCAGATTCCCATGTGCCTTTGCAGGTAATGTGGCAGCAAGGATGAATGCACACAACCATAAATACTTGAGTAACCAAATTCACTTTAATTAATAGTGTTTGTACTATTGTCCAAACGTTTAGAGTCTATGGATGGTTAGTTTGTTTACATGTCATGTGTTTATTGCCATTCTAATGTTTGTTTACATACATTAAACCTACCTGTGCCATCATTAAAATGCAGTTTTACTATTTGCTTTGTAATAAATTTTCTTTTTCAAAGTTATGTAAATGGACGATGTAAAATGCAATACAACACAGAAGTACCTGTACATGAAATTAATTTCAGTATGACCTTGCTCAAGATATGAGCATGTCTTCACTATCAGACATTGTGATGAAGTGGCATGCAAGATCTAAAAATCCCTTTTAAAACGACTACAAAGTCTAAAGTTGGCAAAAAATATAGAAATTACATTGTGTCCACCCTCATAAAATCAACCCATCCTCTTGTTTTGGTAGTACTTTTAGCAATGATGACCATAGTATATACAGTATAACAATGTACAACGGAATTAGACAGTAGAAATCGGCACTATTGAGTTGGACAAACAGGAATTTTTTTTACTTGTGTTGTAAAGATAAACTAAACCTAACCTAACCTTCCTAGGCCTGATACACGATATCTGAGGTCTAATACAGTATATGTGTGCGCTATACTAGGCCTAGGAATATTAAAGTTTGTTTTTTTAGCAGAATTTTTTATATAAAAATTCCTTACGCGTCAGTATACTACTATCTAAAGGATAAGTAGGTACGAATTTGTGACTAAAAAATTCAAACTGGAATATGGGCAGACATGCATAACCTAAAATACTATACAATGACAGAAGGCACAGACCTGGGACATGGCAAGAGGCACAGAGATCAAGGATATAGTTGATAGTGCACTGAGGCAGATTACCATCCATCACAACCAGTGGAGATGTACTGATCTCATCTTCAAATTGACGCACCTGCCAAGAGATTACAGACTGATTAAAGAAAGGATATAGTATTATCATTGAGTTATCATTCTTGAATGTACTACATAAGAAAAATGATGAAATTTGAGAGACCCCAAGAGAACACTGGGTTGGTGATGTTCAAGAGACAGCAATGCTATATAGTCATATTGCCTAAATGCTTTTGACTCTTGTGTAACAGATATAACACTGGGAAGCTGGCAAGAGAAGACCCTTCAATCTTTACTTCACAGAAGAGGTAGTTAAGTACCCGCAAAAATATATTGACTGATAACACTAACATTACATATCAATCTTTGAAAAGAGTGATAGAAATAATTTCACAAAACACATGGAATAACAGCATCTACATAACCCCGGAGAACATTGGTTTAGAACAGGGCACTCCTGCCTCGCACTAAAGTCTTGTCCCATATTTACTGGAGGCTGATAGGGGCACGTTCCTCTATTAGCACTCCACCTTGTGCTGCCTATATTAGACTATGGCAGCCCCCCGTATTCCTGAGTTAGTACTTTGCGTGGCCACAACAATGCTCACATTATCATTTGTCCAATACTTTGACAATTGCCTCTTTGGTACCCTGGTTCCTTTAATTTTTCTTATTTTCTTTTACTACAAAGATGACCTGGATACAGGATTCACTCTGTTCACGTCCACAAAGTTTCCCCTTGTCATGTTCACCCCTTGCCCCCCACCCCCTCCCCAATGGAGGGTTCCACACGTGAAATTTTCCATAACCCTTACCTGTAAGGTGAAGACATATACCCCTCCTGCTGTTAGGAAGTAATTATCAAAAGAAGGCACCAAGCCTACTGTTAGGAAACTATTTCCCTTTAAATTGTTCCTGTTATTCATGCACTACTGCTCTATTCAGTCTGGTGGCGGTGTTTGCTACTCTGTTGTTTTTCCTGATCACACTAATATTTACCTGAGGGGCACCATCTCTAGTCCCTCCCAGAGCCAAGCATTTCTATGAGAGTTTTATGCAATTTTTTGTGTTCTACGCCAACTGCTTTTTATACTCCAATAAAATCCTTTGTCACTGTGGTTGACTTGCAGTGTTCTCGTGGCTTTAAGAGCCTTTTAACATTTCCCATCCTGGTGGTCATATCCAATCCTGTTTTTTTTTTTTTTTTTAAATTTTAACAGATTTAAGACTGCAAACTTCACCGAGTACCCCACACATTGGTGTGACGTGTAATGGACTTTTGGATGCCACCACCGCTAAGGACATTTGTACCTGTCCCATCTCCCCAAAAGGGATTACTTTTTCAGATGTTTAGTCATTTATATTAAAAAAAACATGACTTGGTATGGTCGGTTGTCTGGTAACAAACTGAAAAATTAAAGGAACTATGCTCTACTCATTGTCGGAACTGCTCTGTCCCATTCACATTCGTGCATCACGTAGATATCTCTTGATTTTAAGTATGATCTTAAGTAACTTTACTCAGTATCCATTTTAGTCACTTGTCCCTTGATAAAGTCCTTGGTGAATCATATACATTTGACGTTTACTTATAATTACTTATAATCAGAACATGTTATTGAATGACTTTGCAGTGGAATGAGAGAGTATAGAATATGTCAACAGAGCAGAATATGGAATACAGTAACTTATTATTTAATAAATGGACCCAGCAGGTTTTCCTCCTCTTGGGAGGGAGGAGTGAGGAAGAACTGTACATTCTGCTATGAAGGTATGCTCCCTTACGCTGCCCAATGTACTCGCTCTCGGGCACAAAATTCTAAATTTAATAAAGGTAAAACGTATTTATTTATTGATTTATAAATACAAGAGTTCTTACATTCTTGTACAGCCACTAGCATTCATAGCGTTTCGGGCAGGTCCTTAATCCTAATTTCCCCCGGAATACGACCGGCCAAATCGTTTAACAACCAGGTACCCATTCACTGCTGGGTCAACAGAGGCTATTGTTAAGGATTGGCGCCCAGTAAATCCTCCCCGGCCAGGATACGAACTCAGGCCGAAGTGCTTTAGCACTGTGTCACAGAGACTTAACACTGTCTCAGTGACAGTATCGCCAAGTAAAGAGAACGGAAGAGGTAGGAGGATAAAGAGGAGGAAACACAGAAATGTGTGGCGGTGGTGAGGAAGGTGAAAGGTTGTGAGGATACGTCAGGAAGAGAGGAGTAACTCACATGGGTGGGCGTGATGTGGTCGTGGACGGTCATGTCTCCAACACCAAAGAGCGCCTCGCCTCGACGGTCCAGCACTACACAGTACACCGCCGTCGACGCCTCCGACACCATCGCCAGGCCCCGCTTCTCCTGTACAGCCAGAAATAAAAGTAATCTCAATGAAATCAAGAATTTTAGACCAATATCAACCCCCTCCTACTTTGTCCAAAAGTTAGTTTAGTTCATTTATTATGCACCCCATACCCATCTTGTGGGCGGTAGTGGAAAGGGTTACAGAGGCACATAATGGGCTCAGGGACTGAACCCCACAATTCATTTAGCTAAGCAAGTTACAATCTTGATGAGCTAGTTACAAAATTTAATACAAGTCATCACATCAACAATGGGTTCGAGATCGACCTCAAGTACAGGTTCTAAATTAAGCAACTGACATATCAATTTTGACACTAGCTCTCCACATATGTTTGTCCTGCACACCGCCCCCCATCCAGTGGGCAGCGGTGGATAGGTTACAATCACTTAGTTACTACCTACAGTTAGCAAACTGGGGATATTTGGCTAAAATTTCTGGTAGCAGATCATTTTGAATGAAATATTGACACATCGCTGGAACATTGGTTATAGAATTGTCTCTAAATTCACGTATCTTTTCGCACTCCATCACATAGTGACGGAGGGTGTGCGAATAATTTTGTTGACACAGTTTACATTTGGTCAGGTTTACATCAGAAGATAATGAGAATTCCCAGAGATACTTGTAACCGAGTCTAAGCCGAGCAGTAGTAACATCTGGAAGTCTGGTGATTTTATTGGATGAACCATAGATGTGTGGCTCCTCTTGCATGATAGTATGATGATAGATGGAATTACTGGTGTCGATTTCACTTTGCCTCAAATCTACAAGATCTTGTTGAAGTTCTCGGTGTACTGCTGCTCTCAGATTGCTCATTGACAATCCAAGGTTACACTCAACGGCTCCTTTAAAGGCAGATTCTTTGGCTAACTTATCAGCTCTATCATGCGTCCAAAATATTTGAAAACATATAATGTACAAACAGCCTGACGATGTGCATTGAATTTTGTAAGTAGTTCATCAAGTCTTGCTTAGCTAAATGAATTTTGGGGTTCAGTCCCTGAGCCCATTATGTGCCTCTGTAACCCTTTTCACCACTACATATAGGGTGGGTATGGGGTGCATAATAAATGAACTAAGCTAAACTCCTACCTACAGCTAAACATAGTATACCGAGTTCTTGTCAATATGACTTCAGACCCCAACAAAGTACCAAGGATGTTATAATTATGCTTGAGTTTATATATGCAGCTTTTGAAAAGAAATTAATGCCCCATAGGTTTATTTGCTGACCTCTGAAAGGCTTCCGACACCGTCAACCACAATGATGATCTCAAATTGCAACACTACAAATAGGCGTCACTCCCTTCAATACTTGCCTCGGTGAAAGACACCAGTATGTTCCTGTGACCGATGCTGCCTCTCCCACACTGCCAACTAACACTGGCCTTCCACAGGGTGGTATACGTGCTCCACTCTTTAATATTTACATCAATCACTACCAAATGCCAGTAAACACGGAAAGCTAATTTAATTTGCTGATGACACAGTATTTGACAAAAATTATGGGTTAACTTATTCTAAATGACGCACTGAATACTGAACTAAAAAAAAGTCCATCTGTGGTTGACTGCTATCACAATCATCTTTAACATTGAGAAATATTACATTGTTTGGAAGAAAGTTCACCGATCAAATTAACATTACCCAAAGTGAGAGTAAAGTACATCGAAAATTCTTTGGTGTTCATATTGACAAGTAGCTGAATTTCAATTACTAAATGTAATATACAGTTTATTAGCGAACTGTAGAACACGACAGCCCTAGGGGAAGCAGAACCCGTGCGGGGACTGCAGATCCCCCTCAAGATCTGTACCCTACCGGGCCTCTATCCCATCTCTACATCCGGGACAGTCGACCCGCCACCTAACACCTATGTCAGCTGACGAGTCTGCAATCTCCCACCCTAACACTCCAGTTGGGCGACATGAACCTGTAGGGATGTACGGCTCACCGACCAGACAGGTTCCACGACTAAATATCGCTTGTCACGCGGAGGGGGACACCTGTAGGGTAACCTGTGATGAGCTACGGGGCCGGGTGTATAAAGTCGCCGGAGCACAGCATCATGACAGCACCGCTCCCGTGCCAGGTAAGTCCACCACGGGCTCACCATAGCCCGTGCTACTGGCCCCGCTTCTGTGCCAGGTAAGTTACGGGCTCACCATAGCCCGTGCTACTGGCCCCGCTTCTGTGCCAGGTAAGTTACGGGCTCACCATAGCCCGTGCTACTTGGAACTTGTTCCGAGTAGCTGAATCTATAACAACAGCAGCATCATCATGACCATCAGCCAGGAGCAACACTTCCTCTGACCTGCCTCCACGTCGCCGTCTCAGACGGATTTAGTCTACAGTCAACACCCCCCACGGACACTGCTGTCAATCCAGTTGATTGACAGTTAAGAGGCGGGACCAAAGAGCCAAAGCTCAACTCCCACAAGTACAACTAGGCGAGTACTTGTCCCGACCAGGACCTCACATTGTCGCCACCGACATTCTACAGCTTCTGTGTGTACTCTATTTTGTATGTACTTTTCTTAAATAAAAATTATTACCCTATGAGACGCCCGCATGCCGAACATCAAACTACTGCAACCATTATATCAAATAGTTACATTAACAGCGTGGGTTAACAGTTACCATCTTACTGTCAGGTGTCACAAGAGCTTAGACATACTCACCAGTCGTCAAATCTACGGTACAGCAGAAATACAGCTTGTTAGTGACTCATAGTTAATACATAGACATGTATCTTCTTGGAGCAAGACTCACCAGTAAGGGATTGTGGGCGATGAGAGCGTGGGCGTGGGCGTCGTTCCCAACGGCCGAGATGAGTAACGGGCGGCAGTGAAGGCGGGCGAGGGCGTCCGCAAGGTTCCTGGCCACGCCTCCGTAGCTCTGCCTGACGCTGCCACGGTGGGTCATCCCGGAGAACTGCCCCCACGGGAGAGAACCAACACTATATTAGTTACACCGCCGGCTAGGGCGCGCGGAGAGGTCAAGATGGAGTGACGGGTCAGGGTAGAGGGAGTCATGGTCATGTAGCAGAAGTCAGGGGTCGTGATCAAGGGGTGAGGGGTCGTGATCAAGGGGTGAGGGGGTCAGGAAGTAGAGGTCAGGATGAGTGAGAGGGTCACGATCAGAGAGGTCAGGGCACTGGACTAGTGATCAGGTTGAGTGTAGGGTCATGAACAGAGGTCAGAGTGAAGGAGCAAGTCAGAGTTAGGGGCCAGGAGCTATGTTGACAAGGAGTGTCGTTCTTGTCAACATAGTGTCTTAAGTGGACAGTGCTGCACTGTCCACTTAAGGAGAGCACCTCAGTCTCTCACGGAGTGTCCCACACTCAGCCTTGTAGCCCCATGGCAAGTTATTTATATATACAAAAGTTGTTACATTATTATAAAGCCACTAGTACGTATAGCGTTTCAGGCAGGTCCTTAATCCTAATTTTCTCCAGAATACGACCCGCCAAATCATTTAACCTACCCATTCACTGCTGGGTAAACAGTGAGATAATTCGGCAGTTCCCGGGTCTATGTATCTACGTATCCGCGGACACTGACCAGGGCTCCATACTTTAGACTTGTCCATCACAAACGTTGATATCCAAGGTTGCCAATCTGGCTAATGTTTCATACAGGCCCGAAAATTTGTAATTGTGGTAATTATGTCCCAGCCCCCTGGAAACACAAACCGAAATTGTCTATTTTCCGCTTTTTACAACTCGCAATAAAGTTGTTACATCTTGGCTTAACGTGTTTATGACGTATTAGAACGTTGTTACAACTTGCTATATTGGTTGTTATAACTGGTTAGGAAGTGTTAAAACTTGTTCGAACGTTGTACCAACGTCGTAGTTTCGGTGTGTGTTTGGCGGGTAGTGACCTATTTGTGCTCAAGTGTTGCCAAACCAGAGCCAGGCAAACAATATACACGGTGAAGGAGGAAAACTAGCAGCAGTAGTACTAAAAAAACAAACTATAAAATAATAATCAATTTACTGGATGTAAAAGTATGTGTGATTAAGACCGAAAATATCTTGACTGTCATTTATGGCAACACTTCCGCGCTGGTTTAATCCCGAATAAACGATTCAATCACGATAAATTAAATCACCTCACAATTACTAATATGAGCAGGGCTCTTTAGGCTTGTGGTTTACTAATAGTGTTACTAATAGTGTTCCAGCAAAGGATATCACTAGGAATTTACTTACATAATAATTGCCTTCGTGTTTTCATTCATTACTCACGATTCATCTAGATCAATAAAATATGTTGTAACACGAATTTATAATCATTTGATATTGTCTTTATCTTGGCTCTAGCGCCACAACATTTCACTCCGCGAACATAGAATAAATAATATTCACTTCGTATGAACAAGGGAAGTCTAATCTACCTGACTTATTGACGAACAGAGACTGCCGTCTTAGCAGCCTCTTGCAGTTGGTAGATACTCTGGCGACCTCTCGTCTGTTTCCTGCAGAGTTCCTCTTCTTGTCCTCTGTAGTAAACTACGGAACATCTCTCCAGCTTGGGCACCATTCCTCTCCCCCGTCCCACCCCAAGTCCATATCCTGAGCCCTCCTTCCCAGTGCTCTTTAGTCGTAGTGACTTGGCGCTTTCCCCTGATAGTTCCCATCCTTCTGGCAGCTCGTCGACGAACTTCCGACGACTGATCTCAGACAATCTCACTGGGATCAAGCGGAAGACTCCCAAGACCTTCATCCGTCTCCCACGGTGAATACTGATCCCTTTCTCCTCTGTAGAAGTGCTGTGGCTCAGTCAGCAGCTGCTACGTCGCTGAGACACTGCACCAGGACTGGCCACCTGCACGCTCCTCACAGTTCCAACCTGGCACGGCCCGCGGATCCACCCTCGATCCCCCAGCACCGTTCCTTGAGACAAGGGAGTACCGAAGTCACGGAGCCCCTTGGGACCTCCTGTGGCGTCCCGGCTCACTAAACCGTCCTCTAGAGGTTGTCCAGTAGCTCCTCTACGTCGCCTCTCGAGCACTGCTTATAGTACCGTTCTTTCAGGTGGCTTAAACGTCATCCATGTGGGACCGGCGTGCGACGCGACCTGTCGCGTGCCTCCCTAGGTGGCTAATGACGGCCGGCGGCCGCCAGCTAGCTCTGGCGCCGACGTCACACTACGTCACGCCATAGCCGCTTTCTGATTCGTCAAACTCAACACACACCCAAATCCGACCAATCAGATTGCACCAAACTAGGAAACACCACTTTACCGCCTCTGAGTATTTGGCGGGAATCGCAGTCTCCTTAGCTCTCACCTCCTTCCCCAATGATCTTAAAACTTAAATAAATCTAATACTTGGCATCTTGCTACCCTCTAAACGTTATTAAACGAGACTGAGTGACTTCTTGGCAATTCACATACGGGAGTATAACTTTCTGGTCGCGAAAGGAGCATATTTAGGCGTTCACGTAACAATATATATATTGAAATTTATATTTTTGTCAATACGGAACATTTAGGAAAGAGAATCATTTTCCTATCCTTGGTGTTGCTGCACAGGGTCGAGCCGGGGAAGCTGAACGTCTAAGTCACACTTTGATTATATACACAATTTATGTGTGATATACATGTTATCAATATATAACACTTATACATAATATACTTATTTAAATATTGTATTAAGAGCAACACAGAACCCCAGCAATATTAGCACCACCAGTAACAGTAACAGCACCACCAGTAACAGTAACATCACTACCAATAACAGTAACAGCACCACCAATAACAGTAACAACACCAGTAACAGTAACAGCACCACCAGTAACAGTAACAGTACCACCAGTAACAGTAACAGTACCACCAGTAACAGTAACAGCACCACCACCAGTAACAGTAACAGCACCACCAGTAACAGTAACAGCACCACCAGTAACAGTAACAGCACCACCAGTAACAGTAACAGCACCACCAATAACAGTAACAGCACCACCAGTAACAGTAACAGCACCACCAGTAACAGCACCACCACCAGTAACAGTAACACCACCACCAGTAACAGTAACAGCACCACCAGTAACAGCACCATCACCAGTAACAGTAACAGCACCACCAGTAACAGTAACAGCACCACCACCAGTAACAGTAACACCACCACCAGTAACAGTAACAGCACCACCAGTAACAGTAACAGCACCACCAGTAACAGTAACAGCACCACCAGTAACAGCACCACCACCAGTAACAGTAACACCACCACCAGTAACAACACCAGTAACAGCACCACCAGTAACAGTAACCACCACCAGTAACAACACCAGTAACAGCACCACCAGTAACAACACCACCAGTAACAGTAACAACACCAGTAACAGTAACAGCACCATCAGTAACAGCACCACCAGTAACAGTAACAACACCAGTAACAGTAACAGCACCACCAGTAACAGTAACACCACCAGTAACAGTAACAGCACCACCAGTAACAGTAACAGCACCACCAGTAACAGTAACAGCACCACCAGTAACAGTAACAGCACCACCAGTAACAGTAACAGCACCACCAGTAACAGTAACAGCACCACCAGTAACAGTAACAGCACCACCAGTAACAGTAACACCACCAGTAACAGTAACAGCACCACCAGTAACAGTAACAGCACCACCAGTAACAGTAACAGCACCACCAGTAACAGTAACACCACTACCAGTAACAATAACAGCACCACCAGTAACAGTAACAGCACCACCAGTAACAGTAACAGCACCACCAGTAACAGTAACAGCACCACCAGTAACAACACCACCAGTAACAGTAACACCACCAGTAACAGTAACACCACCACCAGTAACAGTAACAGCACCACCAGTAACAGTAACAGCACCACCACCAGTAACAGTACCACCAGTAACAGCACCACCAGTAACAGTAACAGCACCACCAGTAACAGTAACAGCACCACCAGTAACAGTAACAGCACCACCAGTAACAGTAACACCACCAGTAACAGTAACAGCACCACCAGTAAAGGTAACAGCACCACCAGTAACAGCACCACCAGTAACAGTAACAGCACCACCAGTAACAGTAACAGCACCACCAGTAACAGTAACACCACCAGTAACAGTAACAGCAGCCCCAGTAAAGGTAACAGCACCACCAGTAACAGTAACAGCACCACCAGTAACAGCACCACCAGTAACAGTAACACCACCAGTAACAGTAACAGCACCACCAGTAACAGTAACACCACCACCAGTAACAGTACACCAGTAACAGTAACAACACCACCAGTAACAGTAACAGTACCACCAGTAACAGTAACAACACCACCAGTAACAGTAACAGTACCACCAGTAACAGTAACAGTACCACCAGTAACAGTAACAGCACCACCAGTAACAGTAACAGCACCACCAGTAACAGTAACAACAACACCAGTAACAGTAACAACACCACCAGTAACAGTAACACCACCAGTAACAGTAACAGCACCACCAGTAACAGTAACACCACCACCAGTAACAGCACCACCAGTAACAGTAACAACACCACCAGTAACAGTAACAGTACCACCAGTAACAGTAACAGCACCACCAGTAACAGTAACAACACCACCAGTAACAGTAACAACACCAGTAACAGTAACAACACCAGTAACAGTAACAATACCACCAGTAACAGCACCAGTAACAGTAACAGCACCACCAGTAACAGTAACAACACCACCAGTAACAGTACCACCAGTAACAGTAACAGTACCACCAGTAACAGTAACAGCACCACCAGTAACAGTAACAGCACCACCAGTAACAGTAACAGCACCACCAGTAACAGTAACAGCACCACCAGTAACAGTAACAGCACCACCAGTAACAGTAACAGCACCACCAGTAACAGTAACAGCACCACCAGTAACAGTAACAGCACCACCAGTAACAGTAACAGCACCACCAGT